AAAACCCCCCAAGGGAAGGGGTTTAAAAGGTTTTGGGGGGGAAAAAAAAAAATTTTTTTTCCCTTAAACTTAAATTTAAATTTTTTGGGGCCCGGGTTTGGGGGTTTTTGTGGGAAGGGAAGGGGGGGGGGGTTTTTTGGGAAGGGGGGGGGGGTTTTTAAAAAATTTTCCCGGGGGGAAAAAAAAACCTTTAAAAACCAAAAATTTTGGGGGTTTTTAAAATTTTTTTTTAAAAGGAAACCGGGGGAAAAAGGGGGGGGGAATTTTTCCCCCCAAAAAAAAAAATTTTAAAAACCCCCTTTTTAAAAAAATTTGGGAACCCCCCCCCCAAAAAAAAGGAAAAAAAAAAGGGGTTTTCCCCCTTTTTTAAAAACCTTTTAAAAATTTTTTTTTTTTTTAAAAACCCCAAAAAAAAAAGTTTGGGAAACCCCCCAAAAAAAAAATTTTTTTTTTTTGGGTTTAATTTTTTTCCTTTTTTTTTTTCCCTTTTTTTTGGGGGATAAATTTTAAAAAAAAGGGGGGGGCCCCCCCAAAAACCCCCCAAAAAAAAAAAATTTTTTTTTGGGGGTTTAAAAAAAAATTTCCCCGGGGGGAAAACCTTTTTTTCCTTTTTTAATTGCAACCTGGTAACCGTGATACCTGTTAACCGTGATAACTGGTCACCTGGTAACCGTGATAACTGGTAACGTGGTAACCGTAATAACTGGTAACCTGGTAACCGTGATAACTGGTAACCTGGTAACCGCGATAACTGGTAACCTGGTAACCGTGATAACTGGTAACCTGGTAACCGTGATAACTGGTAACCTGGTAACCATGATAACGTGTAACCTGATAACCGTGATAACTGGTAACCTGGTAACCGTGATAACTGGTAACCTGATAACCGTGATAACTGGTAACCTGGTAACCGTGATAACTGGTAACTTAGTAACGTGGTAAAACCAACATGGTAAACCATTGACTGTCTATTTTGTGACCAGGGAAACATGATCTACACCATTCTGTTCAGATGTACACACCGCCTAATAAGATATTGATAGATGGGGCTGTTCACCCAACTTCCATGTGATGAAGATGTAGCGGTGAAGTTATAACTTTGTTAATCACCAGAATGTTCATCCAGGTTATACAGCAGGTATCTGGTATGTGTTGTTCAATTTTTATATTACCAATTAACCATATTACTGGACTATTTATAAATATCTCCGGGATTTCGACGCGGGATCATATTATCACTCAGCCCGGCCCGCTGTTAGATAAACATCTCAAGGTGATATCATCCCGCCCCGGAAATTTGTATAAACCCGGCCCGCTTTTTAGTCGTAACTGATGTTTATCATTCAATTCTCCTACTTACAATAATCAATGATACTGCTGATTAGAACTCGATAATAGTAGAACAGTTAGACGCGCGATCACGTGGGCGCGTCACGTGCGTACCACGTGCCACCAATAGCATACGCCGAGTCTATACCACGTGACACCAAAGCGCACCACGTGATATGAAACATCGTAACCGTCCACTTCTTTTACACGCAAATTCCTGGGAACGTTGCCAAAGCAGCTAATTCTTGGAATTTCTCCAACGCGTGGCGTGAGAAGTTGGCGACTAGCCAGCTACCCTTGTCCGTGCCCTAAAAATAGTATTGTTTTGCTTGCTCTCCTTCCAGCTCTTGTTCCTGCTAACGTTCAAGCTATTGCTCCACTATGACAGATCGGTTTGACATTCAGATTGATGAACTGCTTTCCAATCGTGTTCCGGACAGTACAGTTAGAGTCAACAACTGGGCTCTAAACGTTATCGTATCACTTGTTATCACCATCACAAACAGAAATGAAAATATTACTAAAATCAGACCCGTATTCCGAAATAAAAACTATTTTATCACTAGCTCTTCTAAAGTATAAATCCCTTGTCGAAATCGCCGGAGATAATTATAATCCATAAACACTTCACGCTCAGGGCTAAATAAATGTAATCCCTCAGCTGGCGCTTCGGGATTACATATTAACACAAAACTCGTGCGCTGCGCGCACTCGTATGTGTTTATCAGATCATCCCGCTAGCGCGGGATGATCTGTTATATAAACCCTTTGCGTGGCGGGTTTATGTTATTATAGCTAGGTTACTACCAATATCGTACAGTTTGGTGCGTGGGTAGTCAATCAGAACCAAGCATGAACCAAGCATGATCAATGATCAATGTGCAGTTGTTGAATCGCTTGACCTCACGAAGTTGTATTGGGCTTTACAAATGCCGACTGCTTTTTCCTCAGACTGAAGATTTTGTTCCCTTTCACAGAATAAGATTTAATTATGGTATCGACGACAAGAACTTTAGTAAAGTTGAGCTTCAGGCATGACCTCACCTTGATCTTCTGGAGCGAAATTGGCGACGGAAATTAAGATATTCTCATTAAGTGATTAATTGCCACTAATTAATTGCCACTGCCACACTAACACTCAGTCACTCACTTATCCTTTCACAGTATTCAGTAATACAAACCAATAGATTACCGATATAATGTAGAAGCAGCAAATGCAGCCTATTTTAGCGCCTGTTTACCTGCAGTTAATTAGATTATTATCTATACATCAGACCTATCCTCAATGCTACCATGCTTAATATTGCAATGTTGCAATTGTATTTATTTACGTGGGATTGATATTGCATTTCTTAATTATCTCCCTATTCGAAGATTTTGATTTGACGATATTACGACGAAAAGTTTGAAAGCTGCCGAGAAGTCCCAATTTAAAAAAATGTTTGTTAATTGGTGATGCCATTGGCCATTCGTGTTAATATGACAATTATAATTTTAGCGATAGTAGTACAATTTTTTGTGACGTTATTTTTACAGTTTCGTTTCAAATGACCGACCGTTTTTTCTTCAACTGTCAGTGTCACTAATGTCGAAATTTCTTGCTTCTGTTTCAACAAATCTGAGAACCAAATTTAGTTATTTTTTGTCGTTTTAATTTAATTGATTGTCGTCACAGTTAAATAATTTGCTTGGACTCCATAAAGGCTTTAAAATTGGACCATCATTTCTATTGTAAATTTGACAAGCTATTTACTTGCATGAAAGTAAATCGAAAAAATGAAGACTTAGATAGGCTTCTGTTCGATATAAAAGGCCATTACCTCCTTCATTTGTCCCTGATTCAATTTGGGTGGGGTCCATAAGCATTAGGCCTCGTATTATTGAATTTCTAAGGCTGTATCACGCCTCTCTACTTCTCTAAAAAACGAGCATTGTTCCTTTTAGATACCAACTATAGTAACATAACACAATTTCTGAAGGTGAATTAAAAATACCCTTCAAATTTACAGCGTTCTATGGTAGCATAATGTTGGCGCTGCTTAAGTTACAACACACTGTGATCCTTCATTTTGCAGTACTCTCATCCCCAGTGATGATTTTATACATTACCATCTAGAAAAAGAAGACATCTGGTACAAGACCTACAAGATGTTTCAGAGATTCTGAAATGCCATGATTGCTGATTAGTTGATTGTTTAGTGGTGATTGTCCATCCCCACGGTCGTTGGGTCTACTAACAGAGTTACTTGTAAGGTCTCGTGTACTGTGTAGCGTGTTGTGTGGCTAACTAAACAGGTTATACCTGTGTTGATCCTACTCACTGCATACCACCCTTCGGAGTAATGAAGACAACTTGTGGGCTTCCAACTGGAGTTTTGTCAGCATGTGATTTAAATAGACTTGCTGATAGGTTAACTTGAACTTCGTTGCGAGGGAAAGCAGGATTTTTGTCTCCAGTTCAGCTGGGCTTATAATTGGAAAATATATTTCTTTGCGGCTCAATTTCCAGATTTCATCAATCACTCCCGTGGGACATATGATTCATAAAATCCATTTAATTATGGTTCGGTTTAATCAAATTTGGTGACCTCAAGTGTTGTCGGGTCTTAGTTACGTTATTTACAAATTATGATGTGTACTTTGTAGGCCACTATCGAACGACATTCATAAAATATTGGCTCGAATTTGAGTTTTAGATTTTCAACGGCTTTAAGTTTGCTGTCAAAGGTTTCTGATCTTATTTTTTCTTGTCCTGAGCTTTGTAACTCGAGCCAAAAATTCAAACATAGGGTCAGCATAGTAAGGGTCGACGAGGCAGAACAAAAATGATTTTACAATTTAATCTCACATTAGTGAAAAGCTAGAGCCGGTCCACCATGGTCCTTCTCAACAACGGAACAACTGTCCACATCGTGGAGTACCTGGAGAACTCCCTGGGTAGACACAGCAACAGATCTCTAGAGGAGATGGTTCTCCTCTCCGTAGGGATGAGTCTTTATACTATCCTGGGAGTCTTGGGTGAGTTTGTTTCTGGAGTATTTGATCTGAAGTATTCGATCTGGAGTATTCGATCTGGAGTATTTGATCTGGAGTATTCGATCTGAAGTATTCTATGTGGAACTTTTGAGCTGACGATATATATCTGGTTTGAAGATTTGTTATAAAGTTAGGAGCAGATAAAGAGTCAGCTTTTGTAAAGCTGTGAGTTTTAAAAGTCATAATGCTATAGAAAATTATCTCTTTCTGAGATAAAATCAAAATGATTAATGAACCTTACTACCCAGGAAATGGGTTGGTACTGATGGCGCTGATCACACAAAGACGATGGGCAGGTCTAGACTCGGTCATGCTCATCTTTATCTTCAACCTGACCTCCTGTGATTTCCTTATCTGTTTGATAACATTTCCTGCTACTGCTATCAGCAGTGCTGTCGATAAGTGGATTCTGGGATCCACATTTTGCTGGTTTGTTTTACTTCAGGTTCTTTTTGTTTTGAAAATATTCTTTGAAATTGAAGGGCTTTACTGATCACTCATGAAGTGCTGACTAGATATTTTCCGTTTTTGCTATAAAAGTTTGATCATTTGCCAAAAGATCATTTTCAATTTTTATTATCAGAAAATGCTCTTTTTCAGGGTTGTAGCAGTTTGTGCAACGTATCTGCGGATAGCAGCAATCTTATTTATGACCATGATCTGCATTCATCGTGTCATAGTAATCATGTACCCGTTTGACGATGTGAGTCATTATACTTTTAGCACCATAGTTTGGATTTTTAGGTTACTACATGTACTTGTTCTTGAAAAGGTCTCCTCCTAGTCGTTGGAGTGACCAGTACCACGCAGTAACTCCTTTTTCCGATGTATGAGGTAAAGCGTCATATAATAAATCAATAAGTCAGGGTTAAAATGAACTAATACTGTTTGAAACTAGACTGTTTGAAACATTTCAGTTGTCAAGTTTCCTCAAATAAGTATGATTTAACCATGGTAATTTATGCATGTCACATAATAATTAAACGAAGGCTTGTCAACGATTTTATCAATTCGCAATGCCTCAAAGAATTGAATTTCAAATATTATGTTCCAAATAAATAATCAATAATCATGCGTTTTACAGGTGATAACAGACTCACGAGGAAAGGTAGCATGTGTGTTCATCTGGATAGTTTCGTTAGCACCGCAAATATTCCCCTTCTTTGGGTACAATCCCTTCCACTACGACCCGATACGGGCTCTGTGTATTGCCGGTAAGAAATTACGTCTCAAAAACATATGTTCCAACGTTGAGCTTCTCCTTTTCCCACCCCAAGTCTTAACTCAAATAATGTTCGTTATTTCATGACTTACTTTCAGATCTACACACTGATAACGCAACAATAAGTGTGTCAAGCATAGCTGCTATTATCTACGTAGCCATACCTATGTTACTCATAACTCTTATCTATTCTAAGATACTCTACATCGCCATATCAAGCAGACGCAAAAGGTTTGATTTAAGATTAAATTGAATGCTTTTCTTACTTCTCCACAAATGTTTTATGTCACAAACGTATATTTTACTTGGCTGAATTTCATAAAACTGCTTATTTCTTATGCAAAATAGGTTAATGGATGAGAGTCTAAACTTTTCTCTAGAAGCGTAATTGTGTTTTCTTTCAGGCTGAATATAGGCCTTTTTAATTGTGTTTTCTTTCAGGCTGAATATAGGCCAGGTATCGAGCGGAAGGACCAGTAAACCGGGTAGTAAAGCCATCATCACGACACTCATACTGGTGGGGAGCTTCATTCTGTGTTTCCTTCCTTTCCTTGTTATCACTGGGGTCAATCAGGCTACTAACAGTGAGTTGGAATTATATTTTTAGCTATCGGTGTCAGATTAAAATAATTATCGAAAGAGTGTTCAATGGCATATTGTGATTCAATGTTATCGCTAGTAGTGAATTTTGGTTAAAAATTCGAGTTAAATTCAACATGGTTTTGGAATCTTAGGTAAGAAACAAAGTCTGTTATGTCAAGTATGGGGCCGCAAAAATACCAAGCCAACCATGTCACCATTTCAAATCACCAGGAGTGCCACCAGAGTTTTTAGTGTATGGGGAGATGAGCTCGTCCCTTCATTGTCTTGTTAATCCGTTTCTACTCCTTTATGCGAACAAGATGCTCCGTGACCGGGCTGTCACACCCCTCATGAAAGCACTGAGATGAGATCAACAATAGAATTTGGAGTGAGATTGAGTTACAATGAGTTTTTGAGTGTTGCTAGTGAATAATATGATAAGCAGTGTTTCGGCAGCATGAAATCTTAAAATCATGAAAACAAGCTCTCTTCGGAATAAATGAACTGGACGGTCAAAGATTGTTTCCATTTACCACTTAGCAGCAATGTCATTCATATAACAATCTTATTCTTCGAATGCAAAGGAATGATTTTTGTTGTTTGTGTTTTGCGAGTTTTTGTATGACGATAATATGTTAAGTGGTATGAAAAAGTGCCACTGAATTTGTTCAAATGAAGTTAAGTTTGTCCTTTTTAGAGAAGGATAACGAATAATTATAAAGAAAAGGGTTGAAATAATGATGAGACGGAAACTTAACACTAAATATCTGCAGGTGTGACTGGAGGAATGATAATCTGGGGGGAGTTCAGCTCTTCTCTACACTGTGTCCTAAACCCCCTCATATACTTCCACACAAATCTAACATTCCGGAAATTCCTTCTGAGACCTTTCCGGGGGACTGTCTTGGAGAAGACAAAGTTCTTTACTAAATACAATGATACCGGGACGAACCGCCAACATTTGAATATTTCGAATGCTATAATTTTGCAGAAGAACCCCCGTTTAAGTGCAGCAGCTCGACCATCCTCCTCCCTTCCTAGAATCTCATTAACAAAGATCCATAACCTATCCCACATCAATGAGAACAGTGTGGTGAAATCTCAACCGATCAATAGGAAAGTTCTAGCACCGACCATTTCTTCCGTTACTGATAACACAATCTTATCTCAATCCGACTTGTACAGTGTACCTGATACAAACACAATCATGTCTCAGTCCGAGTTCAGTGTTGGGGATAACACGGTCATGTCCGAGTTTAGTGTCGTGAGTCATGACTATGAGGAGCTGTGGGAGACCAATAATGACTGTTTTGAGATAAGACAAAACACCATTTGATGTGAACCATGAGATGTTGATTGTTGACGAGATGCTTGTCTCAAATTTTGATGTTTTTCATTAGTGATATGTTTGAGACTGTCTACTTTCGGAAAACTTTGATACTCGTCACTAAAAAAACGCTTTTTAGTTCTTTTGTCGTGAATATGAAGTTTCAATTCATAATGTTTCTTTTTTATTGTAATTTACAAACTTTCATTGTATGTAAAACAATTTGAATTTTGATGGACATGTTCATTGTTGAAAATCTGTGTGCGTCATTTCTGCAGACAATTCGGTGCGCCCGAGTGGTGGTTCCTACAATAAAATATCAATACCTCCTCCGACTGCAGACAATGCCTTTCCTACCACTTAACTTGTTACTTTTTGTCGCTATTTTAAAAGAAATGAAGGAACCCAAGCACTAGCAGTGTACTTCATCTTTTAATTAATAATTATTGATAAAACAGTTAAAAAGAGCCCTACCTTAATTAACAATAAAAACAGTTAAAAAGAGCCCTACCTTAATTAACAATAAAAACAGTTAAAAACAGCCCTACCTTAATTAATAATAAAAACAGTTAAAAACAGCCCTACCTTGCGTAAGAACACCTACAGTAACGCTGTCACGTGATCAAACAGTAAAACTAGATTGCATGTTGTGTCTCCACACAGCTTGAGAGTCAGCACTTAAGATAAAACATATACCTACTGCTTATTTGAAATACTCCAAATTATAATGCAATTAGTTACATGAGAATACAAACTTTGGGTCCTAATTATTTGTGGATTTTAGATGACCGTTGCAGACCATGCTATATCTAATTAACATTTTAGTCAAACAAATTGTTATCTTTCTTAAATTGACAAGCGGAAAGTTAAAATATATTGTAATGTCGCATTAAATACACGTAATACGTATTATAGTACGCCCTAAATAACTGATCGTGATCCACGATCGTGGTCCGTGATACCTAGACCTATAAAGCACGGAACATGGTAATTTTGCTACCACTACTACTTCTAAGAAATCGGGTTCCCGCAAATATCAACCGGAAAAAGGTCAAATCAGATCATATTCGTAACTTGAAATCAGTAGATTGTTAATGTTATTCATATTGTTACAGCATAAGAAATTAGGGAAAATTTCTTTGTATTGCACTTTGCAGTTTGCAGGCAAATTTCGGAGAAACTTGGTATCTGAATGGCGCAGCTTTTGCTTCCGGGAATTACCTAATATCTTGATCATATCGTGTGAATATCCCACAGAGAGGAGATCAATTTCCGTACACGTACTCCAGTTCGACACATACTCCAGTTCGACACATACTGGCACGGCGTAAAAGCGGAACCTGCTCCATGCTCGCCAAGGAAGTTAACTTAATAAATTTCATGGAAACTTTCAAATCCTCTTTTGCTAAATAATTAAAAGGCTTCCCTGAAACTCAGCCCAGAAAAATATATATATATAAATATATTATAAGATCTAAGTGATTGTAAAACGTACTATTCTCCAGAATCGCATGCACACTTGTCATTAATCTGATTCTCAGAAATTGAGATTATCATTGGCCTACGTAAAACACCTCTTGTGCAGCGTGTGTCAAGAAAAATGTAAATAGAATGATCGCTATTCATTCTACTGTTGATATAGTTTCGTCAAAAAATCGGATTGTGTCAAAAATTTTCGCGATGAAAATGTCCGTATAGTCCGAGACTAAACGGAAATTCGTTGGCTTTTCGTGTTAAAAGCGATTTCTCGACGGTTATCACCTCTCTAGATGATGTTTAAAACATTTGGACTTCATAGCATTTTTGTACTAAATGCAAAGAAGGCGTTTTGGGCCACACCCTTTTCTAGGGTTTTGCGGTCACTCGAATTTTTGTATTTTGGTCCAGGAATAAGGTCGTAGAGACTATTCCAATACACCAAAATGTGCCCAATAACTATATATTGATTTACAACTTATAAAGCAACATATACCTTAAAATGCTTATTTTCGGAAATATGGCCGAAAAACGGTTACCGGCTTGACGCAGTTCATAATTATTTTATTTAAATGAGACTCAATAACACTACACGAATCCACCAGCAGTTCATAATGTCTGTGCTTTTTGGCATATCCGCCTAGTAGTCGGAGACCAACAGTTCTAAAAGGCCAATTCGTTAGCTTTTGATCGTGTTAAAAGCGATTTCTCGACGGTTATCACCTCTCTAGATGATCTTTAAAACATTTGGACTTCATTGTATTTTTGTACTAAATGCAATGAGGGCGTTTTGGGGCACACCCTTTTCTAGGGTTTTGAGGTCACTCGAATTTTTGTATTTTGGCCAAGGAAGGTCGTAGAGACTATTCCAATACACCAAAATGTGCTTAATAGCCATATTGATAATGATATACAACTTATAAAGCAACATATACCTTAAAATGCTTATTTTCGAAAATATGGCCGAAAAACGGTTTCCACGATTACTTACCACGATTACTTTAGATAAGATATACCAGCTTTCGGGGTTGCAAGACCCCAAAAGCAGGCAGAGCATCCTAAATCCTCATGCTACCGTCCGCGTCACGCTGACCATCTATGTCCAGCCTCTCTAGTCTCTACTCTCTATACAAAACAGCTAGTGGGCCCGAGATCCGACCCATGTCCCTACTCCTATATAGTGTCCCGTAAGTAAGAGATCGTTCACGTAAGCCAGATTTTGGTCATTTAGACCTCCTCCCGCACTAAAATCCACTTTACCCTAAGTTAAAGCTAAATTTGTGGACAATTTTAACATGTGTACGGTGGCTCAGACCCGCTATCGTTTTTTTTTATTTAACCGATGTCAAATCGTTTTTATTTCAATATTGAATTGGAATTTCATGGCTCAAATCCGCCATGCCGTTTTAAAATTGATTTTTTTTAACCGATGTCAAATCGTTTTAATTTTAATATTGATCAGTGATTGGAAGACGTACTATTCTCCAGAAGCGCAAATCACTAATCTGATTCTCAGAAATTCTGCTGTCAACCTAAAATACTGAGAAATCAGTAAAGAAAAGATAGGCGGGCTTGAGATTATCATTCGCCTGCGTAAAATGGAAATATAATTATCGCTATTCATTCTACTTTTGATATAGTTTCGTCAAAAATTCGGATTTTGTCAAAAATGTTCGCGATGAAAATCTCCGTAGTTAAGTAAGCTTATTTTTACTTAATCATGCTGAGGAAATTGAAGTCCATGATATAGTGGAATACTGTTAACTGACTTTGACTGTAGCAATTAAGACATGTTATAAAATCTTGGAATGTTTCCATTTCCTGATAGAACAGAACTAGAAGAAGCAAATCTTTGCATCAGACTTTGTCTTTTGCTACTCAAAATAAAAGTTCGGATCCAATTTAAATTTTGTTCACATCTTCATCAGTATACGAAAATATGCTATAGTGGCTTTTGCTAAAAGTCAAAGTGACACTTTTAATGCTTTAACTGCAGTTCCATTGCAGTTAAAGAATACTATAACTAATTTGATATCATCTTGAATCTTTATATCCCACTATCTCTGAGAAATCGTCATTCTTCCAAAATTGTATAATACTACGTTTGATGTCCCTGTTTTTACTTTTAGACCAGTTCATCAGATAATATAAAAGATATTATTACCTTATCGGACGTTATTTGAACGGATATTGCGTGAACGGGCATCATTTTGAACGGACATTAAAATTAAATATCAAATCAGGTGAACATGTTCCTGGACAAATCTCAGTTGGTTGTGGTCCTACTCTGTTCCGGTTTTGGATTAGTTTATGTTTCTACCTTTCTCCCGCTCAGCTTGCAACCTTTCGTAAGTACGATTCTATTTAAGTTATGGTTAGTTATTCATAAGATTAAGAATCAATTTCCAGATATTGGACTGATCAATTTTAAAGTGGTTAAATTTACATTTTTCGAAACGGCTCTTTGCGTGATGATAATTATTTTTGCTGGAATCATTTATTCAGTTATAAATCGGGTACAAGCCGGCAACTATTTTGTTATAATCTGATATTTTCTAAATTATTTCTAGACCTACAGTGTTATCGACTCATTGTCCGTTGGTGGGATCAGCTTGCAACAGATCACATATTTGACAGTTTACATCACACAAACAGGTTAGCACAGTTCCATGAAGACTTAGAGTTCCAAGAGTTTATAAAGATGCAGTCAAGTACATAAATGTAGTTGACTGCATCTAAATCTGAATTTATCTTATCAATAAATGATTCCAAATCGGAATACTTAATACTTAAAAACTTTGATAGTAATCAATATATTCATAAAGGCGTAGCTCCCTTGGTTCCCTTGCTGTTTAAGACGTTGTCCAAAGAGTTCATCTTCTCTGCTGGAATTGTTTTGTGTGGAGTACCGTTTCTGTCGTTGGTTCACATATTTCCTCCGAAAGTTCACATATTTTTTGGTAAGTTGGCAGAACTTTTCCCCGTTAATTTGAATATATGTGTCTACTATCTAACACCACAACATTTTTAGAGTCTTCCAAACAAAAAAATTACCAATAGCTGGTTATTTACTAACGTTATGTTTTTTAAATAAATTAGCTGACCCCAAGGAACTAACAAGTTCCATTTTCAGGTTTCTGTTTGGGGTCTGGCTATGCTCTAACCTTTCTCTCTTTGATCCACATAATCGTAGAGAAAAGTCAGGAGAAGACGAAGAAGAAGAATAAAGTGCTTACCTCTAATTTTGGAATATACTCCGTCTGCCTTGGGTTTGGGTTCACTCTTCACGGTTTCATGAAATTAATCTGTTTTCCTCGTCAGCAAGAAGAGGTGTGTACTTTTATTTAGGCATTCTGGGTCTAGTCCACTGTTTTCGAGATTCCATGAAGAAATTGTGAAAACGGTGGTCCGGCGACAATTAGCATTTCATTGTTAGTTATCGTCGACCAAGAAAGTAGATCATAGATCGTTCTAATGGATTATTTTGATGACACTTAACCTAACTGTTGATTTGTTGATATCATCTCATTAAAGTATTATGTGCTTGTGCTCATGACAAAGGGCGGAGCAGACCGTTTATCGATGACATGCACCTTCTAGCAAGCAACAGGTGATAGGAGCTTGTTTTATGAAAGTTAGATTTAATTTAAGAAGGTGGAAAGGAGTAATAAATTCTTAGCAATGTTAATCAAATTTACATTTCAGGTTTACAAGACACACCTTAACACGGCAAGCCTCGTACTTTTCATTTTGGGAGTAGCAATCCTCTCAACAAATGTCATCTTCAAGAAACTGGGATGGATAACAGTGACAGAAACTGATCAAGAAACAGAAACAGAAACTGATCTGGATCAAGGAACAGAAACCACCAGTTTGATGATAAAACGTCCGACAAGGATACCGATCGGGCTTAAAGACCAAATCCCTTTGGTGGTGATAATCCTTTATTTCGGACTAATCAGCAGCGTCATCTTCACACTATTCTCAACATGCTCATTCAGTTTAAACCTACAAGCTGAATCAGTCATAGCGTTCGGATTAGCATTCTCCGGGTTCAGCGTGTACGCAGCTGTAAAAGGCGGAGTATACGCCTCCTACTCAGCAATCCTTGCAACTCTCATGATAGCAGGATTCCTGGTGTTGGGACTTTCACTGCCCAGGAACTGTGTATCTGAGCACACCTTCATCACCGTCCAGAGCTTGCTTTTCTTGGTGCCCTTCTCAGGTTTGTTCCTGGGTGCCGGGTGTGGCCTGCTAACATGTGAGACCCTCTATTGTGTCTCTACGATATGGTCCAACGAGTTTAAATACACTTCCTTGGTGATTGCCCAGGGGTTGTGGTCATCTGTATGTTGTATTATCCCAGCGACAAGGCAACCTTTAAACCTGCTCATTTTCACCACGGTCTTTACTGTTCTCTACTGTTTTTCAGCTCTGATTCTTCACAGTAGAATTAGAGCAAGGTTGGTAAAAAAGCGTAGCTTAACTTACGGTAGTAGGGCAACTTATACTACATGGACTAGTCAGGCAAGCGCATCGACTTCGGCAAGAGAAGCTGAATATGATGTTCCTAGGGAGTCCTGCCCCAATTATTGAAATTCTGTGACCATTTCTTAATGGCCACTTTATCGAAGGATCTCAAGGAAGCAAGTGAAAAGGATCGAGAATAAATTTAAGACATTATCCTCACTCACAAGTTACAATCGATCTCAATAACATGAACATTGCGAATCGTCCGCTGGTCGATATCAGTTGACAATCGAATGTAGTCGAGGTAATAGCAGACATAACTTGTGCTGGAAACAAAAATTTTGCATTATCGTTAACGGTTTGAATTTAGATGTTTTTAAATTAATCTCTATTAACATTGAATTTGTACATTGAATTTGTATGTATAATATTGTATATTTGTTGATCGTCCTTAACGGGAGTTTTGATTGTTCGGTACTTTTCCTTTCATGAAACCATTATAGGGAACGTGTCATTTTAATGTGAGTTGGCAAATTATATGAGAACACTAAAATCCATGCGAGTTGGGTGACCCTTGGGCGTCAGAACCTCACACTGTGCTAAATAGGTACTACTTTACTAAATAGGTACTACTTTCCACTTTTCTAATCCTATCCGTCACTCAAAGTGACACGCTTTTGTGACATTTTGCTAACTGTGACCTTTAGGGCCGATTGGTTCATATAAGGAGTGGTTAAGCCTAAATGTTTAAGCAAAAGAATTCAAGATGACACTGAATTTTTGAAAACAAATTTCAAAAGATCATATGTTGACAGTATAAAATGAAACAAATGACCTTCACATTTCAATCCAAGAACATTGATACAATCATGTTATATTCAATGAGAAGCCACATATTTAGTTCAACTATAATAACGGACACAATGGACTCGAAATTTCACAAGAATCAAGATTATAATGTGGAATAAATCAGTAAATAGTGAGGGCTCAAAGCATTGTTTATGGTTTCTTCGTTACAACCCTATTTTCGTCACACATCGATATTCTCAGTTTCTTATATGAGTGATGAGTCTCCAGAAATTTACCATTCCATGTCCTTCTTCTAACAGATTTTCTTCTTCTAACGGATGTCTTGAAACAGGTAATCATAGACCAATCCCCGCTGTCGCACAGGGTTTTACATGCCCAGCTTCTCAGACCTTAGATCTGATGTGAGCAGAACTTCTGTAGGGAGTCACGAGTCTGCTCCTCTGTTTTCTCTTTTCTGTTTTCTTCACAAACAGGCTCGTCAGCAGGGATTTCAGTTTCTGCTTCTTTTCATCAGCTCCTCGGATTTTCTTCGCATCTGAAATAGTGATATGATGACTTCGGGTTTAATTTGATTAGTGAGCATGATAAAGTCTATGGGAATATCATACTGATTAGTCAATTATAGTACCTCTCGTGTGAGAACTACAAAATAATATAATTGATCGAGAGCCTTCAATGAAATCAATTAAATCCTAAATGAATGTGATCTCGTTTAACTGAATATTATTTTCTATTCACGTTGGTATCAACTAATCCAGACAGTTCCAGACTCTTTTTTATAACTCCTACCCTAATTAGTGACCAAGAGTATCACTACCTCGCGTAGATAGTGGCACTGTACTAGACCAGAGCTGTCAGTTACCGCTAACTGACCCCATTTAGGATCACATTTTCTAGTATTTTCAGGGGTCTTTGTCATATTGCCACGGTTGAGTGATTGGGATACCGGAAGTATTAACCCTCAGGCCTCTAAGTTGACAGTAGTGTAATGTAACATGCGGGAAAATTGAGCAGTAAAAGAGGGACAATAAAGAAAGTTGAGTATCAATGCTCGTAACAGTATGCACGGAACAATGACTCATAGGACAATGACCTCCTAGACAATTGTAATCATTAGTGCACCTCAATACTGACTCATGCAGAATAGCACACACATTCACCCTGAGGTGTCCGTGAGTAAAACTTCTTTGCAGAGCGACGTGTCGCAAGATTTACATTTTTCAGGAAATGTTAGAAGATGAGTGTTATCACCTGGCAATGTGATGCAAGTTCTTAGATCTGGTCTTAAACTTAAACTGGTCTATACTAGACCTGGTCTTGAACTTGAACTTCTTAGATCTGCTCTTAAACTAAAGCAAACTTTATTTTGAGTACCTTGTTTCTTCATTCTTACAAAAACCCGGAAACAGTAAACACACGTACATTCAAACAAAGTTCACAGAACGGCTCAACGTTAGATTTTATTTAAAGTACGTGATGAAGGGAGTGCTTTAACAAATTCAGGATATTTTTCAACTTTATGATCCATAAATGCCAAGGGGGTGTACGAAATCAACCCCTGCTCAACAACCATTGTTCATTTCACGCTGAGATTATCTTTTAGACTTTAGACTACACGTGTAAAGCTTATCAGTCTAGACCTTGTTATCTTTGTCTGCTCCGAGGAGCCGGTATAAGTGTATGATAAGAATAGGGGGCTCTAGCTTCAAAATAGCAAGATATAAAACCCGGAAGTTTTTAGTGAGCTTTCGTAATTGATCTGGGAGCATGTAGGGAGTTTGTGGGAGCATGCAGGGAGTTTGTGGGAGCATGCAGGGAGTTTGTGGGAGCATGCAGGGAGTTTGTGGGAGCATGCAGGGAGTTTGTGGGAGCATGCAGGGAGTTTGTGGCCAAACTCTCAAATTTCAAAAGGGGCGTGTTGAAAATTTCGTGGTCATAAAACCTAGGGGCGGTTTCCGACCTAGGAAGCTATAAATTTGTAATGACTTCAACGGCAAGGTTACAAGAATTTATGTTTTTTTTTAAATCTCGTTATACTCCTATGATATCAATTAAATTCATCTTACACCCTGGTCGTTATGACATAACATGATCATGTGATATTATGACAGGGAGCAGCATGCAGTTCTATCAGGGTGTTGTACCAATTACACATAACCCGAGACGCAATCTTGGCAATTAACCAGCTTTATCACAGGATCACAGTACGTTTATTTATATGGAATATGTGATAAAATTAAAAACGTGTTGGGTTTCTAAGAGAGTAGATCATGTGGGCTGGGGTTCTCGAAATGAAATAGTAAAACAGTTGGTCACCTCGCCCTGTCTACAACCCAAAATCAATGTTCAGTAATGCTACACAGTGACAAAATAGTGCTGCTGAGAGGCTTCTTACCAGAGTCTCAAACCAAATTAGATTATGATTTTGGTACACTATTATCTAGTGGGAATTATTCCATCTTTAACTCTGAAAGCCAGTTTTAAACTACCTTTAAGCCCCTTAATTGTTGTCTAATCGAGTCCAAGACCGTCTGCATCAAGGTGTATGCACAGAATTGACGGGTCACGAATTAAAGGGTTATAATAAAACTATGACGAGGATTTGAATTCTTACCGTGAAGTGTAAGATCTGGACCAAGTCCCTCCCTTTTCCTTTTAGTGTCCCTGATCAGATTCTGACCGGTTCCCACAGGGCTACTCTGAGCTGGACTTCTGTCACCTGAACATCCGGGTTTAAACTTCACAAACATACTTCACATGAACACCTGACCTCAGCTGTATGTCACACAGCTACACGAAAGCTAATTTCATTTTCACACAAAGCAATTAACACAAGGCAATTAACACATGGTAATTTGACGGTTGAACGGAAATGAGTTGTGAGTAAGTTCAAACTCAGATCAGCATGCGAAATGACGATTGAAATTTGATCACGTGACGAAACATGGTATCTAATAATTTGAAAATGCCACTGAGACTTGAAGATCGCAAATCGAACGAAACTGACCTGATCCGATCATGGAAGAGAACAAGTGAGGGTACTTTGCGAGTAGGCTGTTACACGAGTTGGAGAGGGAGACTTCCTCCTTCTCTTTCTTGGGATTGACACTATCCTGAAGGAAACGACAGTTATATTTCATGAACAATGAACATGTTAGATTTAAAGGATTAGATGATTCATTTCCATAGATATTCATTTAAACTATTTAAACTGTCCTTAAAAAATTGAACATACAATAAAGTAATCAATATAAATTAAGTAATTGCGAAGCTGTGTTACCTGAGTTGCGTCGATGAGACGGGAGCATGAGGGATAAGATGAGGGGTAGGATTCTTCGTCAGAATAGCTTTCGGGGGTGAGGTCTGCACTGTGCTTGCTACATTCCGTATCCAGGATGAAGGTCAACAATCCGATCTGTAGGGGAGGTTAAATTAAAACAATTTTATTAGGAATTAAAACAGAAGAGATCCACAAAAAAGCCATGAACTTTATGATGTTTTCTTGGATTAGACTTTGCCGTTTGGGTGCAGGGATATTATCGGTAGATCAAAATCAAAACGGGATTTAATAAAGAGCTGTATAAACAAAAACATTGGTTTCAATATTAATCACAAACCTGATCTTTAGCTTTTGATCTGTTATGAACGGGAGAAGTATAAGACAGCGAGCATCCAGACTCAAACAGTCTCCTCCCAGCTATCCTCACAACACACTCATCTCTCCCAGCTATCCTCACAACACACTCATCTTCCTCAAGTAGTGGTCCAGCTTTATCCTCGAGGTAAGATTGATCAGATGTCCTGGTGAGTTTGATTCTTATCGGGCTGGGACAGTGAGGAGTTGAAGCGGGTGTACCCAGGCAGAGGGGAATAGGTCGAGTTGGAGAAGAACAGAATAGCGGGGACGGGAACTGACGAAGAGGGCCGGTCCTGGGTGCACAATCAGATCGAGGGGTTCCAACTCTCCGAGAAGGAGTGGATGATCTGCGGGGCATGTCAGGAGTAATTCTGCAACAGGATGTCTTCATTCTATTGAAGGAAGGTGTTTGGGGAGAATCAACACGGAATCTGGTGAATCTTCTGGCGGGGCTCCTCAAAATACTCGGAACAGAAAGATCAGGCAATATCAACAAAACTGGTCCATCTGATATATCAAAGTTCATCCTGCTGTCTCCAGAGGTGTCTGACCGGGACGAATCCCAATGAATGCGGGACATACTGGGAGACAAACTCCCGGAACTGAAATCAACTGAAGCCATAACAAATCCAAGAACTTTCAAACTGAATCTATAACTAACGGTAAAACACTTCAGTAGGTAATCGATTAGAGCTAAGTAAGAAGTGAGAGGGTTCAGCAGCTTAAGAGGGGAATAACGCGTGTACACTCTTCTCCAGTGACGTGCACACTATCACGTGACCACGTGACCACGCTCGTCCAATTAGGGAGCTGGAGGGAGAAGTCAACCAATCAGAGCTCAGGTCAGGGTGGAGGTGGTAGACGGTGACCAATCACTGAGCTGTGCGTGATTAAGTGACGAATATTGATGGTAAGGTTAGAAACTGTATCTAAGTGGGCTGAGACGAAATTGCAATGAGCTAGTTTTATCGAGACCCGTTACCGTAGATTGGGGTAAAATCGCCGTGTCGGGGAACTTCGCCACTATTTTTCAAATAATCATTTTACTGTGTTGAATTGTTAGGAGATCGAGTTTTTGTATAGTATTGTGTTGAACAAATGGTTATAAAGGTATTCCTATTCAAAAATAAACGTTTACGATGTTAATTAAACTCAGGCAACATGAAATAATGCAATAAAGTGGCTAAAATTTCCTGCTTGCATATTTCCCATATTTTACAATTATATCCTTAATAAATTCTGTGTGACATCATTAGCATATGTCCTGTTCATTTAAGGGCGAATTTAGTTAGCCATGATGCACACAACTGATATTATAAAGTTTTCAAATTTGTGTGTGGCGAAGTTACCCTCTTCTGATCCCATCTGTTCGGCGAAGTTTGGCGCGAAATTCGCGCGCGGCTGGCAAAGTCACGCACGTGTATTGGCGAAGTTCGACTACATTTCTACTTCATCCCGGCGATGTTACCCACAGCATGGCGATGTTACCCCGGCGACCAAATTGCCCATTGTAACACGCAGGCTAGAGCTAGATAAGTAAAATTGGCAGGTATATCAAGGAAATATAATTGAGTTTCGAGTGGTATGGTGCTTAGCACCGAATATGGTATTGTTTCAGAATGGCGAAGTTACCCCATATTGCAGGGTAACTTCGCCCTGATTTCAGTGGCACCAATCTAGCTGACTATTTATGCCTGGCTGATGTGGTTCATACGAAAACATTTGCTTTACCAATCCTGTTCATATGAGCTATAAACTTTTTCAAGTACTCGTGTCGTATTTTCTACATAACATGAAATAGCTGTAAAACATGGCGAAGTTCCCCCATTCTACGGTATTTCATCAAGGACTTGATTGCCTGTTTTGTAAATAGTCTGTTAAATCTCTAAATGATTGGGTGGTGATTACTCAATCAGGCAGAAGACCCGAGAGTTTTTCCCATAATCAGTGGTAACTAATCTGGTCTAGTAAATTCGGTCGATTAGCAATGGTTACCTGACATTGTTCCAGGCAGTTACCTCAAACGGTAGTACACCCTTTAATCTGCCAAGGTTCCCTGAAAAAGTCACTGGAAGAAATATCGAATATTACACTTAGACCTGGGAGATGATAAAGTTGTACTTCAGTTTGATCACTGGTTTTAAACTGGTCACAAAATGGACTAAGTGTTCATCAGAACCCATCAGAATAGTTTCTAGCTTACACTTTGATCACGTGATCACGTGAGAGGTACACCTTATTCCGATAAGCTAAGCACATGTTCAGATCGAGCACTTGACCTTGCGGCATAATCCAACCACCATCATGCATCACTCTTTTGTTCCAGTTTTAGCGGGACAGTGGTTACGGCGGTGGTTACGGCAGTGGTTACGGCGGTGGTTACGGCGGTGGTTACGGCAGTGGTTACGGCAGTGGTTACGGCGGTGGTTACGGCGGTGGTTACGGCGGTGGTTACGGCAGTGGTTACGGCGGTGGTTACGGCGGTGGTTACGGCGGTAGATCATGATTAAAGTACTTATTATTATGGCTTCCAAAATAGAACATACTTGTATTTTTCAATGGCAACAGTATTCATTATATTAGACACAATTAGCTTCAATCGAGCTTTCATCAATGTAACATTGTTTAACTGATACAGATAATAATAAAATTGTAGATAATAATGCGGCTTTTTGAGACACGGCTCGGCTGTGTTACAAACTGAAAATCGTTGCTTTCTTCGCAATTCAAAAAATAATTTTGTTACTGATATCAAGTTTACATTAACTCTAAGCCCCAGATACATAAAATGTAGTTTTTTGAAATGATACACGAAAAAGTATTGGTGATATTCATTCAAAATTGTTAATTCATTCAAAATTGTTTACGCATGGAATCAGCAAATAATTGACAAAATAGCTATGATCTGCAACACTGAATTAACTCTTTGTTCCAATATTTAGATCCAGCTGTTGAGAAATGTGCTAAAAATATTTACTTGTGTTTGACATGTCTGACATGTTTAATACTGTCCTACCACTGAGCTGAAATACGTGTTGACGTCCTTCGCAGTGTGCCATATAAAAACATGATACAAAGTTAATCGAAAAGTCAGAACAAATCCTTTTGCTCGAACTTAACCTCATAAAATAAATCCTTGTGTTTAGACTTTGAGCGCTACGTTGCTGATGAGGGTGTTTCTGAGGAGCTGCTTCTTGTAGCTGTACCACTTCCACTGGGCATTTAATGCCGCCGTGATATCGTGTGAGGTCGGGTACGGGAAATTCTGAGGGAAGATTTTATATTTAATCCAATGACTCAAAGTAATTCTCAGCGGTTTTTCGTTTGATAATTCAAATTCAATGAACATGCTATTTTTACTCGGTAACGCTAGATAATTTTGTTATTTCAAGATAGATCACGGAGTCCAACGGCCTTTTATAATTACATCATATCAAGTAACAAATATATTGATTTGATTTTATTCAGTTTTATATAATGTATAATATAATAAATTTTAATACAATGCAAGTAAATGCAAAGTTGAAATCAGAATTTTCCATAGCTGTTATCGTATTCAAGACCTGATAACCTCACCTAAAAGTTGAGGTTATTTAATCTGATTCCTCACTTTAAATCTAGTTTGGAAATTAATTAGACACCGTGATAAAACAAAACTATGTTTTTTAACACGAGATTTTCACTAAATTCCCGCAATATTCTAGAGATCGTGTCATACGATCCAGTTTATGGAGCAGGAGAAACAAGAATAGCTTACTATTTCGCAGTTTTCGCTTAATTCATGATACATATGACTCAAGTATTGAGTCCGTCACGGACACTGGAACCCATTACATTTAGCTAACTTTAGACTTTGACACAAAAGCTGCGATCATATATTTACGGAAACTTAAATAATCAAGCACCTGTACAATTTTGATTATTCACTTATTTCTTCATCACAACCGTTGATGATTATTTTGTTACGGTTATTCTTTAGAATACAGTTGCTGCAGGCCCTCTAACTTCATTAGCCGATATGCTTGTTCTAAACAGCTGCATAACCAATCCAGGTCAGCTTATTCATGCTCTTCAAATCATTCAACAAGGATCATTCAGCTAACTGTATCGAGCCAGTAACCATCTGGGAACACCATGTATTGATTGGGTCCCTCAATTAGCGTCTATTACCCTGTAGATACTCAACGGGTAACACTCTGCATGTTCACTGATCTGTCTCTTCAATTAACGTCAATTAAAGTCCTGTTAGGTCAATTAGTGTGGAAGAAGCGAACAGGCTCTCACAGCCCCTTAACAGTTATCCGGGACATCTTCAGACGTTTTTAGAGTTGAAGTAATCCTGCTCATCAGCAGGACACTATGTGATTTGATTTGAAACTTTTACAAATAGCAAATATACAATACAGCAAAGAGAATTAAAATAAACGACATCATGAGGCATTATCTTGTGTAAAAGTCGTCGACCATATTGTATAAATACTAAAAGCATGGGTAAGTGGTACAAGTGCTAATCGTGTTAATACCGGAAATAGGACAGTACGAGGTATGGATGGTGTTTAATAGTTGCTGAGAATGATAATGATATTATAATAATTAATTATAATTAAGGATAATTAATTAGGATTAAGGGATATCGAGCTTTACCTGAAATCTAGCTTTCAGAGATATCAAGACGTCTGGAGGTACAAAGTTCTGGAACAGTTTCTTACTGATCACAACACACTCTGCATTGCTGGACACCTGATAATATAGTTATAACTTAAGACAGAACTTTTCGGATTATTCACCATCTCAACAGCTTAGTATACACCGGTTAAGACTATGGTTCCTCAAGAATTTTCCAATGTTACACTTTCTAGGAACTGATATTAACCGAGTTTCTGATTCAGGATGTTACTGAAGATAGTAATGAAAATGTTTTAACACCTCAGTACTGTGTATTACTACAGCTCAACCTGCTCAGTCTGACTAATTGGGAATATAAACTCTTGATAACTTAAGACATAATGTATCTAGAAGTGGGGTTGTTGTTGTTAGTTAATACGAATAACCATCTAACACTTTTATTTTCTAAACAGAATTGTCGACTGTTACTCACAATATTTTCATTGAACAGGACGGTATATGTTAGAGAATTGAAAATTAAATTCATTATTTCGGAGAAACTTACGACACTAAGAGAAATATCGGGCATTTCTCCTACCAGACTTTCGAATCCCTGAGAGTTTGTACTGAGTTATTGCGTATTGCTTCGACTTATAGTTATAGTGAAATGCAGGCTTTTGGAGAACATTTAAATCAGCATATTTATAGTATTCATTCGCCGTATATAAGTAGATCACTTTAACTGTTAAATATTACGCTAGTAATAATTCGATGTGGCATTTCATCATTAATCTCGAACTTTGTTTCAATTATCAAATCATATTAGGATCAATGACACTAAATAACTATGCACTTCTTTTGGAAATAACTACGTTTGTTAAACTTAATGTTAATAAAATAATGTAAACAAAATTCACCAAAATGGTTAATTTTAATAGTTAGAAAATCCAAATTCGGACTCTCCCGGGAATTAAGCGTAAAATTAAAATAATAAAACTCACGAAAGTATCTCCAGGTTTCAGGGTCCTGACACAAACGAACATGCAAACTTTAGTTTCAGGAGTGCTGGCTGACTTAGCACTTGTGGATGTTCCTTCTGATATTGACTCCTGCAGATATATTCATTTTCGTTAGATCACGAACGTGTTGTCGCATTAATGGGGGCATTCGGTCAGATATCTTTAATTAGAGTAGGTGGGTTTCATCCCTGTTCGTCGTCACGAGATTAGACTTCTTCTTGTTATTTTCATTCTAATATCTACAAATACGACCCTATAATATAGAAACACGGGCAAGATTCCATACAGGATGTGTCTCACAAGCTAGCAGCCGGGTTTCATGAGAGACTGCGCCGTAATAAACACGATCCCCATGTTGCACGTGCAGTTGTTCCCGTGGTTGGGTCTAACAGTAACAGTCACGTGAACTGTCTCCTTGAAATATAACAACACACTAATCCTATCTCAAGCTCTCAAGGTTTACCGTTTTACTGGTTGTATTATACGCGAGAGAGCATTGTTCTGACGAAAATGAGTTGAGAGGACGAACTTTAAGACTATTTAGGTAAAGAGTGACGGGGTTATGTTCCTTTAAACTTTTAAACGTGGTTTGATCTTACTTCACTAACTCTCTCTACCATGGATAGAGCTGTTAACACAAACTTGACTCTGACATTGTCTACAACAGCTCCTCTTATGGGATGAAATCTGAGACTGTCCATTCGGCCATTCCTAAAAGTGACTAACAACCTAAGAAATACTGATAATATTCACCAGTTCCAAAGCAGGCAAATCTGTTAAAGTATCCGATTTAAGCGCTTGGTTTAACCATTGGTCATCACTCATAAGTTTAGGTCGCGTTATTTGTCACGTGTCTATATAGTGATTACGTGTCTATATAGACCTTACTGTCTGTTAAGGTTTGTAGCCCTCAATCCTCATTCCTCGTATTACGCAGTTTTCTGGTTTACTTTCGTCACCAAGTGTTATAAAACTAGAAATTAGGAACCAATGAGTACACAGGTGTCTGGTGGGTCTTAATTGGATCAATACAGTGTTATAAAGATATAAAGATGGTCAACTTTGATACAAAATGTTGTTAGTCATTGTCGAGTCTCAAGAGTGATCGCTGTCTACCAGTTCCGTTGTCAGTTCTGTTACCTGTGTATGTTTGCTACAGGTCCTTGGCCGAGAACATGGACTAGGAGTTGGAGTGGGAGTTGATTCGAGGAAATAGCGAATCTTGCTGTTCTTTTCCTTTTCTGAAAGCACGATTCTCGTGAATGAACGATCCGTAGCTACATGGTTTCATTGATCCTTGAATTTAAATCTATAACACCAGCCATATCGAATTTCTCGAATTGAGAATCAAATCGGATTCTAAAGTACTTACGTTCTAGCGAGTTGAACTCAAGGTCGCAGACATCAATCTCATCAAAGCCATGTTTTCTCAGAGAATCTATCACCTCTTTAGCTTGCTCTTTCAGTTGCTTCTCAATCGGCATAGCTGAAACTACTCTACAAGTCCCCTGTATAACAAGGTTTATAATTATTTGTGATATTGGTTTGATCAATTATCAATAATCACGCTGTATTTCTTAGCTGTAATTTTGTAAGAGACATATATTTTAGTACGACAAGCACATCTGGAGAAAAACTTATGAAACCAAAAGCTGGGTTCAAAAAAACGCATTTTAACTGCACTCCTCATCTATTATCATTAAGTTTGACTAATATATAAGACTAATATAAAACTAACAGATTTGACGACGTAGAGCCATTCCGTATTCATTTCCCTGACAATGACACTCCCCTTTCTGAAGTAATGAACCACACAGTTCATCGGGTTTGTGTAGAGTATGTGGGTAGGGAACCTTTTGAACGCTTCACACTCTTCCCTGGGATTACGACAAGGTTACAGTGTTTTGATATCTAGATTGTTATGAAGTTTTTAAGATTCCTTATTTATAGTAAGTTATATCGAATAAAGCATGATTTGGGGGGGGGGGGAGGGGGGGGAGGATGTTAATTCTTAGTAATCCGAGTTCTTAGTAATCTGAGTAGATTTCGATCCTCTGAAAAATATTCAAGATTAATTATTCACTGACTCCTTCGATAAGTTAATCCAATCTAAAACCGTTCTTTAGCGGTTTGCCCTTTAACACCGCACCGGAATTTTCATATTTATTCATATTATTCACATTATTCATATTTATATTCATATTTTCATGTAATACTATTACATGGTATTAATGTTATGAAACATCTACGTAATACCCGGCCTCGATTCTCGTTATAAAAAGATCTGACTCAAATTGGACTCCAAATCATTTCAAATTCACCTGCTCAAAAGAGATTAAGACAAAACACCTACAGGACCATTTAGGATAAACGATTTAGAAAATTCTGGAAATCCCTCATAAAAAATATTTGTAACACGACTTATGACCGGACTTTATTTTAAAATGTGTCTAGTAATCCAGACTGGTAACTTAATGTTCCTATAAACTTGAATCCACATATTATGTAGGTGCTATTACATTTTATGATATCATTACATAAGGGGAAATCATACCTTTTATTTTACAGGGCATAGTCAAAGAATTCTGCTGTGCATTTACATTACAAAATAATTTGGTTCAAAGAGATTCTTAAAAATTCTGATTTTATGAAGATGTCATCGTTTAAGCTTTTGTTTTACAAGGCGTAGTCAAAGAATTCTGCTGTGCATTTACATTACAAAATAATTTGGTTCAAAGAGTTTCTTAAAATATCAAATAACGGAGTAGTTCGCTGTTTATTAGTCTCATGATTGAAATACTGATATCTGGATATTATCCGGTTGGAAGAGACAAGGACAAGTGAAACAAGGAAGTTAGGAGTAAGGGCAAATTTTCGGCGTCAACGCCATCTTCAGGCTCAATAAATGTATTTAATTGTAGTTGTTTCACTTGTCCTTGTCTCTTCCAACCGGATAATATCCAGATATCAGTTTCTTAAAAATTCTGATTTTATGAAAATTTCATCGTTTAAGCTTTTATTTTACAAGGCGTTGTCAAAGAATGCATTTACATTACAAAATAATTTGGTTCAAAGAGTTTCTTAAAAATTCTAATTTTATGAAAATTTCATCGTTTAAGCTTAATATGGACGAAAATGGTGGCTGAATTCGTCAGCAGCGAACAAAACCGCGAGAATTAACCAAAACGTTTTAATACTTAAATATTAAGTCCCTTCAATTCGAGCACTTTTAGCTAATTTGGCAAAATTCTTTCGTTTAAGCTTTATATGGAAGAAAAATGGTTGCTCGATAGGTCAGCAGAAAAAAAACGCGAGAATTAACCAAAACGTTTTTATACTAACATGTTAGGTCCTTTGAGTTGGATCTCATTTTAATGTTTAAAGACTTACCTGTGAAGTGTGAACACATCAATACCTTCTTTTAATGAACTACCTTATCGGACCTTATTTGAACGGACATTAATTGAACGCTGGAGGCCCTAGCGTTCATCTTAATGTCCGTTCAAATAATGTCTGTCCGTTTAAGGTCCGTCCAAATTAAAGTCCGTTGAATTTTTTTCAAAAATTATTCGACTGCGAACTTATTGTTCAGGTTATGACAACTTTTTAATTTCAGTTAATTGCAATTTCTATCAGTATCATCGGACTAAACTATATATCATTCTATCATTGGATCAATGATAAACAAGTTATTATAAAATTTAAATATTCTAATTATCATATTATGGCACTTTTGCACTTTCTTGATGTACGGTTCCTCGTTCATTTCATCGGAGTTACTATTAAATATTAATCTACATCCACATCTTCTAGATATCTTACAACTGTTTGTTTATCCAACTCGTAGTTGTACCGGGTAATGAACGATATCGACTGCTTTACCGGAGATACTAGAAAGCCTGAAGTACAACTTGAGATTTATCTCTAGCCCCCACTTGGCATAGGCTACCTTCGGTGGTTCATGTCAACGACGATTCTTTCTACCATACCAACCATCTCGATATTATGAAATTCATAAACCGGGATATCTTTCGAGGGATATGGCCGGCGTACCTTCATACCTCATCTGCACAGCATTTAACATTTTTAATGCCTAACGACTCCTTTTCAGTTTCTTACTTGTTGTATGAAAAATTTATTTAAAAATTATCTGTTAAAATTGAAAAAAGATAAATTCAGATTTTTAATGGTTTTGAACTCCTTCGAGCGTTTATTTTAATGTCCTTTCAAAATTATGTCCGTTCAAATAAGGTCCGATAAGGTATATATATTTTTTAGGCGCCATCCAACTTCAAACTTTTGAATTCAAGTCAGATGTATCAACCATTGAATAATGAGCGCCAATTTTCATGATAAGACTTACGCTGTATAGCGACAGGGGTAAATATTTATTGTTTATGTTATTAGTTAAGGTATTAGTTAAGTTATTAGTTAAGTTATGTACTTATAAGTTCAGTTAAAGCCCTTTACTAAACACTTTGGGAACATTTAACGAAGGTAATTACTCTCTCTCTCTTTCTGTTCTGGTCAACGGTTTCTGGCCTCTTACTAAAAGATGGAGGCCTTCTCACCGTGCCCACAGAATGCAACTCCTGCTAGCTGCACGCCAGGACTCCCAAAGTATATACGAAATCATAAAATAATAAATATCAATGCAACAGACCCCTGGAGTCTTGAAGCTGGTAATTACAATAACATAACATTAACTCAACGTGGGTGCCTGTAATTATGTACAACTACATCATTAGCTGTCCCAAAAGCTGGCTATCTATTAGATACCTTATGTTTTATTATATAGTTAATATTGGTAATTGTTAACTTATATATAATATTGTTAGTTGTTACATTTATAGTTTATATTGGTAAGTTCGAATTGTTACGCACTAAGTCGATTTGTAAATCAAGGTTTGATTGACGCTATATTACGTCGTAATAGTAATACCTAATACTTGTGACTGTCACAAATGTGACATCATGCATTATGTAGTCACTGTGCCTTTGATTATGTAGTCACAAGCTGCCTCAATAAGTCAATAGCTTGCTAGTGGCTACCTACTAAATGATAATATTATCAATATTATTTATATGAAAAGAGCAGTTCCCCGGGATTATCAGAAATTGTGAACTCTAAACATCACAACAATGCGACTCATAGATAGATAAATAATGTTCCTATCCGGATACAGCATCAACATTACTAATGCTATAATAACACTTCTATAAGCTATAACAAGTATAACTGATGTAACTGCTATAACAACACTGTGAACTCACTTTAAGTACTGTATGTGCTCCATTTCCCGAGGATTTTTTGCTCCTTGTGCGTTCTTCACTTGCGCATCAAACATTGGTAGGAAGTCCTGGAATAAACCCATGAACTATTCGCACGTTCCGTTTTTATTAAGTTAATAGAATTTTAGTATGCTGTATCATGGATGTGGTAGATTTGTCGACTTGTAGCCATGGTGATTGTTAACCACATAATTTAAGTGATCCACCATATACTGGGTAAGTTGTGGGTAAGTAGTGGTACTAGGTATACTTGTACACTGGGTAAGTACTAAGTAGTACCTTTGTGTCCTACGTCAACCGGGAAAAAATCAAATATATGGGAATCGGACACAATTAAGGGCGGTAGATACAATAGCGGACGACACGATGACGTAGGACACAAAGGTGGTAATTTCCTAAAAGGTTAGACACGAGGGCGAATCAAATGACTCACTTTAACATGGACAAAAGGGTTTTGAACATGAGCAAGAAGGAGACCACTACTTAGTACTTACCCGCACTTCAGTACGATTACCTTTTTTCCCATATATTTGATTTTTTCCCATATATTTGATTTTTTTCCATATATTTGATTTTTTCCATATATTTGATTTTTTTCCTTATTCAGAGAGTTGGGAACAGTAAACTTACTTTTCGGACGGGTTTTTTATTTTTAACCCTTGACTACCCTAGGACTAGACAATCATGAATCTATCTAACATCACGACCTCTGATCCTGTACAGAGTTTTCCCTACAAGGACCTTGGAATTCAGACTTCAGATAGAGTTGTTGGCTCCGTTATAGCTGTCTGCACGATTGGTGGCCTTGTGGGGAATGTCTTCGCGGTTTTCTACTTCTGGTCGAGGAGGACGAAGAGCATCCATGACATGCAGTACCTTGCCATAACTACAGTGGACTTGATAACTCTATTGTCGTGCACTGCAATCGTGCCATCCCTATTCAATCAACGACATCCCACGCTTTTTGCCAATGCATTCTTCTGCACTGCATGGTCGATGATAACTATGTTCACAGCAAGAATGTCCATGTTTCTAGCGATGATGATATGTGTCACCCGCACCATTGCCATGAAGTTCCCCCATCTTCATATCAAACGTTTTCATGTGGTCAGTGCTATCGCAGGATATTCTTCATACATGGGGCTGCATTATTTGATCTTTGTCCCTCAAAAGTGGAACTATGGAGAATACAGCCCCTGGTTGTCCCTTTGTAGATTAGTTTCAATAAACAGAAAGTGTCATGCCAGCGTTTGCATTGTATTTTGTCCTCATCTCATACCTCATAGAACTTACCGTTCCGTCGCTTGTAACATTTGTCTGCTTCGTTATTGGAACTCGGTTCTTGATAACCCGGCCGCCGCTCAATGCCGAAGGTGACAGAAAATTTCGTCGTGTTTCTGTCACAGTTTCCATATTCACAGCTGCTTTTCTTTTGTGTAACACTCCATGCTTTTTATACTACATAACCGAGGTTACGGCGATTTATAATGCTCGTGTCAGGGAATTCATATACAATTCGAATGATTTTATAGTTTATGGCAGGCTTCTGTTGCAATATTTTGTAATCATGCTTAACGCGGCCATTAACCCCATACTTTATTTGTTGAGGATGCGAGGCTTTCAGCGCTGGATTGGCAGATCTCTTCCCAATGAAGTACATGGAACTTCAGGTATTGACTCAGGACTAAGAAGGCCAAATTCAAACCGTCAAACAGAGGAATGTTTATAAATGTCATCATACGACTGAATTCTGAAAACTGGTCTACATCCGAGTGAAAAAGACTCAGATCCTGAACACTTTACATTTGCAACGAACCCCACAAGACAAACATATACCAAGCTTTATTTGGTTGGAAAATTACGTGAGCTTCAACGTAATGTCCGCCCAAATTAGAGTCCAGCTACCATGTACATTTTTGTGTTCATAATTATTAACTATTATATTATTAATAACTATTTATTTCCGTCCACGCAATGTCCGATAAAGTGTCAATTCTCTATTTCTAGACATAAAAATTTCAAAAAAATGAGTTTACAGCTTTTCCGTCACATAGCTTGTATATTTTTTCGTCAATATTATATGTAAAACTATAATAAATCAAATGTGAACCTAAAAATATAATATTGTTTCACTTTCAAAATAAACTTCACTTTAAAAGACATTGTCAAAATATAACAACCTTTTTATCGATGACCAGCAACTCCACGTCACTCTGTGCTACAACAGTAGCGTTTCTAGTTTGGTTCAGGAGGAGAGCTGTCTCCCCAAACTGGTCTCCTTTCTCCAGCACACACCTTGTTGTCACGTACATTTCTCCCGTAGATTCACTCTGCTGCATCTCGTTTATCATCACTGAACCATGTCATGATTATTTTGTGTTAAATACTTTTCAAATTTTACAGAGTACAGCAATAGATGATCATAAAACCGTTCGAAAATATTGCCCACGGCTTTAAAATATGATGGACATTGGGCACCCAAACACGGTTATGGAAATGTTAAGTTTGTCTCAAATCAAACAAAGGGTATAGAACTCACTGTGAACCACAGTGAGTAGTAACGAGCACAAAAATCTAACCTGACCCGGAGATAATGATGTAAAAGTAAAAAGGCCGATGTCCCTGTCTGATGATGACCCTCGAAGCGCTGAAACTGGAGTAAAACCCGACCTTACAGAGCTGTATCTGCATGGGGTGCGGATACTGGGACAGGAGCTTCATCTGCAGGAAAAGTTTGTGGACTTGTTGGAGAGAATCATTGGTGCGCTGATGGGAGGGTAGATGGAGGGTAGCTTTAGCGTTGTTGGGCAGTCGAACGTACTGTGCAGTTAATTTGTGGTTAATTGGTGGTTAATTTGTGGTTAATTGGTGGTTAATTGTTGACTAATTGGTGACTAATTGGTGGTTAGTTTATGTTATAGGTGCAGGCTCTAGTACACAGATATATTGTGTTATTAACAGAAAATATAATAAAATTATTGGAGGCTCGTGTGCCTCCGAATTTCGAATTAAATTCTGGTGAAACATAACATATATTTGCATAATATTTTCTTCTAGCTATTTCATTACACAGTTACTCAGTTACATATTGTTATCAGGCACGTAGCCAGGGGGGACCATGGGGCTGCAGCCCCATAGTCGCGGCCTGGTAACTGGGCTGTGTTTATGACGGCAGTCTGTACTGTTTAAGTGTTTAAACGGCAGGCAATTGACTTCAGCATTCCGTAAATTATTCCCAAATCCCACTATACATTCTTTAATGCCAAATGTCGTCTAAAACACCCTATTTCTCAAAATTTTTCCGGGGGGCTGCGCCCCAAGACCCCTGCCGCAGCTTCGCTCGCCGAGGCCCCCCCCCCCCCCCCCCAAAGAAAGATCCTGGCTACGTGCATGATTGTTATTCGTGTGTGCTCGTACAAGCCCAAAATGTAACCTTGTTTTTGCTGGCCGCACTGCTGAAGTAGCCGGCATCAAACAACAACTCTTCCTTTGACCCAGCCATTCTCTGAACTTGTCTGATCTGCTGTAACGACATTAAGGACTGAGAGTTCTCTTCAGCTGCTCGGACAGCATGGCTGCAGAATATTCATTTTGTTCTAACAGTAACTGAGTAATGGAATTTTCCGAATTAATCGAGTTTATAGCGTAAACCGTTATTTCTGTTCCTATGACGCTAACAATTTAAGGTAATATTTCTACTCACGATGTTAACATTGAATGAACGACTCATTTTTGTTTGTGAAATATAGGGGAAATTCCCAAATCCCTGTAACTCAGTAACCTTAACTGTTAAAATTGGCGAACTAAATGCATGACTTAAGACTGTAACTAACAAATAAAACTCACCTTCGACAGTGTTTGGTACTGATAGCCAGCAGAGCCACAAGACGGACAATATCTTTAAAATCATAACTCTTGAGCCGAGTGTGTAGTCCTAGGTTCATCGTTCTACTCTGTTTTTGTGGCTGCTTCTTTGAGTGACTGTGAACTCGTGTTCCCTTGTCAGTGTCTTCACCTGATGCCGTTATTTAGTTAGTGGTCTAAGATAGTAAGATAGGTTTTAGGGTTTTACTTTTAAAGGGTTTTTTAAACAGTTTTTAAAGGGTTTTTAAAGGGTTTTTAAAAGGTTTTAGCTCACGTTATTGCAAAATAGTTCAAAACAATTCCATAGTCGTAACAAAAAGGACTTTAGATGGCGTGATCGAGACACTTTAATCTAAAACCTACACGCGGCGTTGAGTACAGAGGTTCTTCTAAGCAGATCATGCTTTAGCTTGCTCTCCTTCCGCCGCTTCTCTGGGCCATGTTTTTTGGGGATATGATCTTTAATAACCAGATCTTTAGCAAGGTGGTTCTTGAGATGAAATATTAGTTCCTTGTTTACCAACACAGTGTCCCGCTGACCAACTATCGACACTTTGCGTTCTTTCATCTTCTTACTTTTGCATTTAGCTAGTAATCAAATTGAATTATAATTCAGACGGTAATAAAATTGAATGAGGTGTTTTAATAAAAGGATGAAATGTTGCATAAAAAAGGATTATTCTTCTAACAATAAACATGAGGCAAAATCAAACATTTAAATCTGTTGAATAATCTGTTGTTACAGCATGTTGACAGCTTCGTGTTGGTCCTGTTACATACCAGCGCTTATTAATAGGCATAGTAACATGTCACGTACTCAAAAAGAACGAGCAAGTTCTACCAAATACCACTATAATATATCAGTATCATATTATATACAAAACACACGAAAGAATAAAATAATCGCGCCACATGTCCAACATGCACACTTGCGATGCTAATCTACCATCCTCAAGGTGGCCGCCTCAAAGTTGTGAAATTGTTATCAATATTTATAACTTGGCCTATTGTTAAAAGCGCAAGTTGGTCAACGAACTGCTAGATTGATCAGGGCTAAGTTACTAAGTTACTCAGTTACTAAGTTACTAAGTTACTCAGTTACTAAGTTACTAAGTTACTCAGGGCTAAGTATCTCTGATACTTCAAGTTCTTGGCTTGTGATCTCTGAAAATTAGCGTAAATTTGGACCACATCTCAAGATGTTTAAAATTTGTAACAATTTTAGGTCAGCACACATACTTATAAATTGGTCTATTATAATAAAAAGCACGTTGGTCACGGAACTATTAAATTTAAAATGAGTTGGCTGTTATAGTCTGGCAATGAATGATACTTCACCTTGGTGACTTATGATCTCTGGAAAGTGGTGGAAATATGGACCACATCAAACGTTTTAGACTTTATAACGATACAATATTTGGTCACTTAAACTTGAAAACATTTTAATTTGTCAAAATCGGCTAGACTGTGCACGGTGCAGTTTTCAGAATCATACTCATTTTTATAGAATTTAGACATGTAATTTGCATTAGGTCAGTGGACAGATCGTCAGTAAATTCATTTGTGACACAATTCGATCTGTTGTAGGTTTATAGTCTACCAAGACGCGGGCCGAATTGGACTCGTCGACGGTCTTGAATATTTGAAACAAATATTTTACGAGTATCACCCGTTAAGTCAATCTGTCGATTTCAACATTGTACCAAAGTCCAAATAGTTGTAATTGAACTATTAAAGTTGAGTTCTATAGCTATCAAATCATGATATTATTGAAATGCACTCACAATAAACAGTTTCAGGGCCTAAAATCTCGTTTTTTGACGACAAGTTTTTCAAGGGCCATGATTTAATTTTTGATTTTTCAAGTGTTGTGCTTTAGAATAGAGAAAATTTTACCGGCGAATCTTTAAAATAACTGTCATAGCGTAAATATGAAATAATAAAGATGATTGTTTAAAAGGTTTAAAATAATTCCCGAAGAATTCAATAATTCATTCGTCATGCAGAAATCAAAATAAAAGTGAAAAGAGTTAAAATTCAGTACTTCAATATGCGTGCTCGACACAAAAGGATCGTTTGCTTATCCACAATATTCATGAAAAATTTGAAAAACTGCTATAAAAGTTCTCCTCCGCCTAAACAAATTAACAAAGTATCAGCACAATTAACTGCTCCACTAGACAATTGTGTTACTATTTCAGACAAAAGAAATTTCTTACCGATTTCATATCTTCAGATGCAGCTATTTCTCGATATCGTAAGCAGTAGAAACAAAAACTTATCTGGAGGTCAGCTGAAAAGTGAACATCCTAGAATCTTGAATCGCATGTAAAAGTTTAAGTAGATCTTCCATGATGATTCGTGCACAGATTGACAACATAGTACGTCATACATCAGGGCTAATAGATTTACATTTTACCCTATCAGTCACATTTTTCCGGTCATCATTTGGCTAACAAATAAATTCATATGGCCCTAAGTATAGTTACAGGAACCAAATTTCGCTATAAGGGCCAAAACATTAGGGCCGAATGTAGATTAGATTTTTTTGTATTTTAACCTAACATTACATTGATATAGTAAAGATTTTATATTTGTAAACCTTTTAAACCTTTTAAACCTTATATAACATAACGTATAAACGTGTGAAAAAGTTTTGAATTAAGTGCGTCAATCGCTTGAATTAAGAGCGTAAAAATGGGGTCTGACCTAATAAGTAATAACGCAACAACTTGACGTCTGAAGACTTTAATTAAAACCATCCTCTAACCCACACAATATGATGATTCTGACCATTCTTATGCCCGAGATGAGCGATTAGCTCCAATCAGAAGCTGAGATATTTTGAATTAAGTGCGTCAATCGCTACTCGCGAGAGCGTAAAAATGGGGTCTGACCTGATAACTCAACAACCTGAAGTCTGAAGACTTAAAAACCATCCTCTACCCCACTCAATATGATGATCCTGACCATTTTAATGCCCAAGAAGAGCCCTTAGCTCCATTCAGAAGCTGAGATATCTTGAAATAAGTGTGATAAAATATGCTACTCGCTAGACTGCCAATATACCTTAGTTCCCAAAAATTTGTGTGCCATTATATTGAGCACAATTTATTTGAGCCCGAAAAATTTGGGCAGAAAATCTGAACTCATTTGGGCGACCGAAAATTTGGGCACAAATTCTTCGAAACATTAACGATTTTCCACTAAAATTTCAGTTAGATATTTGCCTTAGTTCATTATTATTCCTTATTATTCCAGTCATTTTGCTTTCAATTTTAAGCTTGTAGGTGGTAGTCTGAGTTGTTTCACATTATGAAATTTACGATCTGCCCAGTAACTACTAAAAAATACAGTGATGATGGCACAGTACAAAATGATAGATATACAATAGTGATATTAATTAGTCTTTCAATCAGATAGTTTAGTCTACTTACACTCAGCATATCTTATCATACCCCTTTCACATACACTTATCATTATGACGCCTCACCAGATGGTCGGAAGGTTTGGAAGAAAATTAGAAGGTTTACATCATGATCTATCAAACTAAGCGGCACATACGCTTAGCTTTGGGGGGAACAAAGGTGTACATAATTGTGTGTAGCGAACTACTGTAAACCCGGACCAAAGGTCAAGTCTAATTTTAATTAACCAGACATTCATTTAAAATATAAGCCTTTTTTTACTTGGTCAAGCCATGAATGACAGATTAGAAAACTAAATTTCAAATATTATTCCACTTGTAATAAGAAAAAGCCCATCATTCAATTGATTCAGGGCCACAGGCCAAATGCCAAAAGTTTGGTTAGAAAAAATTTAGCAGACGAAAGATTTATGCAATTAAATTGGTCTGCAAAAAAATTTGGGCGAGAGGCCCGCTCTAATTTTGGTCGCCCAAATTTTGGGAACTAAGGTAAGTCCAATCGCTCAATAATATACAGCATGTTTTGGTGGCCGCTCAAAGCAAGCAAAGCTGCTCGTAGTGTTCATAAACATTTTGTTTTTGCCAGAGTTTGTGGTGATAATTTTATCGCTCGTACAAGCAAAAGAAAATGCCAAAGGGAAAAGGCCAATGGGAAACACCATCATGGAAAATTGCGTCCAGAAATGTAGACAGCGAATTGTGTCCAACGAATTGTGTCTGGGATCAGGAGCTGGGAACTACGGTGAGAGAGGTAGCCCCAGGAAAGTTTGCGGAGAGAGCGCATGGCGAAACATGCGACGTAATAATTTGAATAATAATTAAACTGATAACTATATATTTATTTATATTATATTTGATTTGCGATTTTTTCCCTCCGTTCTTATTTAAAAAAAAATGGGTCATAGTTTATTTGTATTGTGCAGTGAGTTGATTATTTAATTGTAATATCAGTTTTATTTATCAATATTTATTATATTTTTGCATACCAAGATAGTGTTTTGTAACGCTTATTTCTTCAACGAACTGTCACAGACCCGATAAGGCTTGCGAGTTCGATCCGGACAACACTAACAACACATCCTATATATTTGCTCCAATTAGTAAGTAACAACTATTTTAAAAAGCGTAGAAAGTTAGTCTGTAGCAACGGTAGTTTTTGAGGAACTATACAACTAAACTACAAATAGTTTTTAACTATAGCAACAAATTGCAGTAGTTTGTGTAACCTCAACGAAAAAACAGCCGGTGTGTGAACGACAGTTTATTCATGGCTACAAGGAACTCTTCTGCCTTTGGCCCGTACGTAAGAGGTTTTGACAATACAATTTGTTTTATTAAAATGTATTGTAAAAAATAATCCATTGGTGAACCGAAACCCTATAGCTTAAACCCAAGTATATAGAATTATAGGCTTAACCCTAGCTTAACCCAGCCGTAACTTCACCCAACCCCTATTCCTACTGGTAATAAGGTATTGCTATAAGTATTAAGGGGACATACACCCAAACCTTTTTTTTTGCGGACCCGGATTGACTTCATATTATGAAAGTATAAGATTATATATAACTGTAAGATTTTAAGGCATTGAACAAATTTTGAAGTACGCACATGATTCGAAAAAAATTATTTTCTTTTCCGAAATTTTTTGGAAATTTTGAGAAAGTCAGTCCCATTGTAATACCGGATATTTTCAGTCAATTTAAACGTTTTTTACTAAGTTTATTCCGCAAAAAGGTTTTGGTGTAATGTCCCTTAAGCGTAGGATTCGGTCAGCTAAAACATAAAACCAAATAATCATTTTTTTATTAAATATACTTTATTCAAATCAAAAATAAAACATAATTAACCATCTTAAAGATCTGATAAGTAACCAAAACCATTTATTTTGGTTGCACTGACTTTTGTAATTTAAAATTGATTAACAACCTTAGTTACAATTTACCACCGTTAGTTAGGTGATATGAATCTGTGGAAAAGAAGACGGAACCTCCTCTATCAGGTACATAAAATTAAGACCATGGCATTAAATAGTAATAATAAGTAATTAATAGTAACCAAGCAACCATCAAACAACAGATAAGTGCCTTAAGGGTTATTTCAATGAGAGTATACCAAGTTACAATAGTTGTCATGAACAAGGAATGCGTTGCGACGAAGAAATACCAAATAAAACCGTTTAAGCAATCATTATTAGTACATACAACCTCCCTACATGAGAACAAATTTCAGACGAACTCAATATGAAATTTTAAAATAATTTTCGCGTATAAAAATGCCAAATTCTAAAACAGGGTACTAAAAGGGTTCCACATAATTTCTCAGATTACAACAGAGAACTGTCCCTGTTTGCATGAGGCCGGATCTGAGTAAGCTGACGTGTATAGATGACATATATAAAACAGAGAGGTGTTGGAGGGTGACTCCTGCTGGTTGTTTGAACTGCGCGGCTCAGTTCATGTACACTAACCAACACTCGACCCCGCATTAAACCTCGATAACCTCATCATAGTGACAAATGAACTTGTGGAAAGGCAAAGAATAAGCGAAAACTACGTTCTCTGCTCTACGAGAACGTTAAGAACATTTATGCCCGACACTTGGCCTACAAGTCACACAATGACTTCTAATTGTGCCAACCGCCCCGTAGTGCAGGGGGGGGGGTGGCCCCACTGATGACGTGACATAAATTCGTGAACATTCACGTGAAACTTTCCATTTACTTTTAGTGCAGGTTTGGTGTGTTTTTTGGTTTTGTTCGTCTTGCGTGGCTCCAAGATACTGCTACACAATTAAAATACAAATAATGACCGCGCAGCGAACCAAACCAAAAACATCAACTATGCATATAAAGTTATAAAGTTATAACTGTTCTGTTTAAATACACGACTTTAGAGGGTGCAGTCACATAAATGTACTGGTAAATTCCGTGTGGATGGGGAAACGGAAAGTACCGCACCGAGTGAACTTCCATCAACAGAAAACGAATTGTAGAGGTGAATCACTACAAACAAACCGGAGATCACTACAAATAAACCGAGATCACTACAAACAACCGGAATCACTACAAAACAAACCGGAAGATCACTACAAACAAACCGGAGATCACTACAAACAAACCGGAGATCACTACAAATAAACCGGAGATCACATACAAACAAACCGAGATCACTACAAACAAACCGAGATCCTACAACAAACCGGAGATCACTACAGACAGCGAGTGTCCATTTAACAAAAAATGGCGGCGATCACTACTGCTACTGATTTCAGTGGAGTGCCAACCAAGCTCCGACAACCAAGCCGCCACCACCAAACACTCCAGCCCCCAAGCCTCCAACAAACAGCCGCCAACAACCAAGCCTCACAACAACCAAGCCCTCCTAACAACAAAACCTTAGTTTTTGATGTGAGGCGTTTGTCATTGGCATCCATAATAACTTTAAGATCATCTGCAAACAGTTTTGATATACCATTAATACAATCAGGCAAGTCATTGATAAAAATGACAAACAATAAAGGACCTAAAACAGACCCTTGTGGGACGCCTGATAAAACATCAGGAGGACTGAGGAGGACTGAGAAGGAGGAGGACTGAGGAGGATGGCTGAGGAGGATGGCTGAGGAGGATGACTGAGAGGGAGGAGGAGGAGGAAGAGGAGGAAGAGAACTGAGGGGGAGGAGGAGAAGGACTGAGGAGGAGAAGGAGGATCCAGGAGGAGGAGGACCCAGGAGGAGGAGGACCCAGGAGGAGGACCCAGGAAAAGGCCCCAGGAGGAGGAGGAGGACTGGGGAGGAGGAGAACTGTTGAGGACTGATGAGGAGGACTGAGAACGAAGAGGAGGAGTAGGAGGAGGACTGAGGAGGGGCGGAGGAAGAGGATTGGGGAGGATCAGGAAGACCCAGGAGGACCCAGGAGGAGGAGGAGGAGGACCCAGGAGGAGGAGGAGGACTAAGGAGTACTGAGGAGGATGGCTGAGGAGGATGGCTGGGGAGGATGGCTGAGGAGGATGACTGAGGAGGATGACTGAGAGGGAGGAGGAGGAGGACTCAGGAGGAGGACTCAGAAGGAAGAGGAGGAGGACTCAGGAGGAGGACTCAGGAGGAGGACTTAGGAGAAATGAGAAGGAGGACTGAGGAGAACTGAGGAGGAGGAGGAGGAGGAGGACTGAATAGGAGGAGGAGAAGGAGGGGGACTGGGAGAGGGCTGGGGAGGAGGAGGACTGATGAGAAGGATGAGGAGGAGGACACAGGAGGAGGAGGACTGAGGACCGAGGAGGAAGAGGAGGAGGATGAAGAGGAGGAGGACCTAGGAGGAGGAGGACCCAGGAGGAGGAGGACTGAGGAGGACTGAGGAGGATGGCTGAGGAGGATGACTGAGAGGGAAGAGGAGGAGGAGGAGGAGGAGGACTCAGGAGGAGGAGGAGGACTGAGGAGGACTGAGAAGGAGGAGGAGGAGGAGGAGGACTGAATAGGAGGAGGAGGGGGACTGGGGGAGGACTGAGGAGGAGGATGGAGGACTGAGGAGAAGGATGAGGAGGAGGACTGAGGAGGACTGAGGAGGACTGAGGACTGAGGAGGAGGATGAAGAGGAGGAGGAGGACCCAGGAGGAGGACCCAGGAGGAGGACTCAGGAGGAGGAGGAGGACTGGGGAGGAGAAGGACTGTTGAGGACTGATGAGGAGGACTGAGGACGAGGAGGAGGAGTAGGAGGAGGACTGAGGAGGGGAGGAGGAAGAGGACTGAGGAAGATCAGGAAGACCCAGGGGGAGGAGGAGGAAGAGTAGGAGGAGGAAGCATCTAAATGTTATTTCCATTTTTGTCCATTTTTGTCCGTTTTTGTCCGCTCTATTTTTTGTCCGTTTTGAAAATATAGGGTACCGAACGGACAAAAAACATGATCCCCTATAACAGCAAAAATTGAACATTTTATTTAGCAATTTAGGTGTCCATTTATGTCCGCCTATGTCCGCCTATGTCCGCCTATGTCCGTCTATGTCCGCCTATGTCCGCCTATGTCCGCCTATGTCCTGTCCTTTTTGGATTCCATGAGACAAGCGGACATAGACGGACGTGACACCCCCCCAATATGAAACGTTGTATTATAAAATATAAACATTATTTAAAGAGCTCGCAATATTCTTCATCTCGCTAAGATCGCTATCAAACATCTGAAACATTGTCACGTGATTATGTTCACGTGTGAATAATTTACCTATCATGATCAGTATCATTAAACAATTATGGAATTGTTTCAAAGTTTTAAACCTGTTACAGGGTGTTACAGTTACATATTCGAAATAAATATGACTTTTTGCAACTAACGACAGAAACACTGGCAGGCGTCATAATATTATGAGCGCAAACTTCTGACCCAGACACACTGGCATCGAGTAAAAAATACTCTTTTCATCTCATTCACCTTCCTTCATGGTCAAGGACGAGGTTCAAAAACAAATATAGGATATAAATAAAATTCATTTACGATTAAAAAGAATCCGTGATCCTGAATTAAAATAAGTTATCTATTTGTAGATGAAACTTGGTCCGTTCTCATATATATTATATGATTTAGCGGTTCATCATGACACTCTTCTGTAATGTTCACAGATCGTAAGCGGTGCTGTACTTATACGACGATTGCTTCATCGCCAGCATTCATAATTCAACAAATATCATGAACAGGTCTTTCAAACTGCTTAGCTCTTCCTTACTAGCTTTCCATTCCTCCTCAATGTCAGCAAAGCTCTTCTTCAGTCCGGAAAGAGATGCAGTGGTGCTTTCAGCCTGTATCTTCCATGAGTTCAACTGAGCCTGAATTGTAACCATGGATAAAGACAAATTTAAAAACAAGCACAAATTTTCCATATTCTTGAATTATAGTTAAAGTTATTTTTGCAAGCAAGTAAATTAAAGTAACAAGAAATCACTTGGTTTTACTATTTCCACCTGAAGTCGGTCGATCTGTAAAGACTGATCTTTGTTGGTCGTCTTAAGGGCCTTCATCTCCTTGGATTGCCTGCTAAGATTCCGCTTTACTGAATTGGAATTAGAGCGGTTGTTCGATTTTATGAAACGGTACCTATATACTACGCTGGGTCGGCATGATTGGCAGTGGATGATGGACGTCTGCTTCGGCCTTGGTCTCAGAGTGCGTTGAGCCGGAATTGGGGCTGAAGCTGTAACTGGAGCTGGAGCTGTAACTGAAGTTGCAACTGGAGTTGGAACTGAAGAAGTCCTCGCTACTAGGTCATCATCCAGAGGAGAGTCTAAGAAGCTCTTTCTATCCGCCTTTGGGTTCTCGCTTTTGGAATTCCGAACTGCTACTTGGTTGCGGCTGTTGTGCCTCTTGACTCTCTTGAATATTTCGTTTGCCACCTGAGAGATATTGCATGATGGTGTATTCTTAAGCAAGGCAAACAACAGTGATGTCTTCGTGGCTGGAGCAATCTTAAGACTGCTCAAAGATATGACTAGTCGGTATGAAACTCGACTAAGTGATAAGTTAGAACACTGATCAAGAGCATTCTTGGGTGTAACATCTTCTTTGCTTAACCCCAACACGGCAGCTAAGTCCAAGAAAAACTGTTCTTGTCCTGGCTTCTTCTTTTGCTTCACCATATTGATATGCTAGCTAAGAGAGTGTAAGTGAGTTTTCAAAAAAAATTCAAAAATGGTGGTCGGTAATGGACAGACTGACACAATCTGACGTACACTGAGGATACAAGAGCTAAATCCATATACTATCTTGTACAAACAGCTAACCACACATATGGTTTTGCACAATCATCAACACAACACCAAGAACAAAAATCAAATGTGCATATGTACAACTAATTTTGTTCAAAATTTTGACAAAAAAGGTGGTCGTCGGTAATGAACCGACTGACACAAAAAGATTCGACTTTTAGTTTAGTATATAATTAGAATAAAACGATATGGTTTATATTCAGAATGATATGGTATAATGATCATTTATGATTCATTTAAGATTATTCTTTTTTTTTCTTCTTGCTGTGCTCGCTTCCTTTCTCTTTCTTTTTTTAGCCTCAATTCCTTTCTTAGAGGATATTTATTAGCCTTTTCACGGCTCTTCCTGGCATATTCCCTCTCTTTTTCGGCATGTTGTTGCCTCTTTCGTTTCTTGGCAGGTGTAGGGACCAGCGGTATCAGGTTCACAGGACTTGGTGGTTTTCCATCTGAGACGTGTGTGGTGACTGACACGGATTGTGCTGTGACAGTTTGGGTGGCAATTGTCTGTGTTGTGACTGTTGCTGTGAGGACTGTCCTGTAATTTTAAGAATTGAGTTGTGTGTGTATGCATGATTAATAATGACTTAGACTAAGCATAATATCTTAAAACTTAGTGTTCTGCAGCTAATTTAACATGTATCTTTGAATTAAAATCTGACCTTTCTTCTTCTTCAAATCGTGATATTAAATTGGTTCTGACTCTTTCTAGTTTGCTATTATATTTTTGCAATTTTCTACATCGTTGTGACATGCTATAGAAAAATTATGATTAAATTTTGCACAAATTATTTAATAACTTTAAATTGCTATCAACGATGATGATCAGGAACACATGACGTATCATCACGACGATTATTGGTCACTCGAAATCGACCCGTTAAGAATGCAATGTAAGTGCGATGGTTGTTTCTGCGTATTTGTTACCTGTTATTAATTAATCAACAGGATCAAAATGTTTATTGTATCGATAAAACATGGATTTTAAGGCATAAAGAAGCATTGCTGAGTTCTGAAACCAAGTTTATTCGATTTCCCATGAAATTTTAAGGTCAGGAATGGTCATAAAAATAAATTTTGAACAAGGTCGGTATTTTGGTAAATTTCTAGCTTTCTGTCAGAAAATACATCTGCGTTTCTATTAGGGGTAATTGGATATAAACTACAGTACAGCTGTACTTACACCCACATTCACAAGCATGCAAGCTCACCTGGTCAAAAGAGCGGGAAACGAAGAACAAGCTCTGGTGACGTCATAGTCACGTGACCACAGGCTCATAATCACGTGACCTCAGACCCAATCAATTGGGTTATGGCCTGCTCAGTGTTCAGCCCCCTGTCACCCGATCTTGGGTGACGTGCGACAACTCGTTAACCCAATCGATGTCTGGAAGGCTGCAAATGTTCACATGCCAAACTCACAATGGTTTTTCGGAGTTGTGCGAGATGACGATACATAGAGGCCGCAGAATTATGAGAACTACCAGATCCTGGTGGAACCTAAGCGATCCATGATATCACGACAGGCCCTACAATGTCAGAGAAAACAAGAGCTGTGGACATTCTTAACCCAATTACAACTCTTGCTGCATCTGCAGTTTGAAACCAGATTTAAACCAGATCTGCTCATTCAGAGCAGACCAGCATAATAATCGACCGAACCATTAATAACTTTTAAGGTCTCAATAAGATCATCTGTACAACGTCAAATAAGCCGCAACTGTACTCCGCAATTGAATACTATACTCTAAATGTAGTCTCATTGGAGCTTTGTAGACAGCAGTCGTCACAGATAAGCGAAATCCCGAAACTCAACAATGTGCAGGACCAGGTGGGACAGTAAATTACTCACAAGCTTGCCCAGCCCACAATAAAAATATTTGGTCAACTGCCCAACGCAACTTGTTTCAGTTACGAAAATTTTTACTGTAAAAATCCAAAATATAACACGTTAGGGATATATTCAAAGTTTTACACGCTAGCACTCAATTCTAAGATTCAAAATTTGAAATAAACGATTTTGGGAATATTTTACAGTTCACGCGCACGTTTTTACTTTTTTTGCGACGTGCAATACGCCGCTTTCATTTCATTAGCAACTTAGCAAACACTTTTTCGAAATTTTATGAAACTTTCTGCATCTATAGCAGCTCGTGGAATAATTACTGGCGAATTTCATTAAAATCATAAATACATCTTCGTGAGAGGAACTTGGGGATATACAAATATTTCAAATCCGCGGAAGTCAACATTTTTGGTTAGATATCTGGTGCAACGATTTTTTTATTTGACTCATTTCTCGAACTTCGATTGTGGAACTTAATCCCACCAAACATGCATACTATCGAAGATCCCCTACACTTTAAAGAAATGCTTACAACGTTTGTGAAATCATTCCCAGATGTAATGAGCCTCTAGTGGCAACTGGCAGGATACAGCTGTCGAAATGGAAACTAGTTAGTAGTTACTGGACTGGAGTGGAATAAAGCCAGCTCGCTGTCCAGGTGGTCAGCAACTCTGATGACCCGATAGAGAATTCTATGAAGCACACCAAGTATCCAAAGTAACTATAATTATTTCAACAATGTGTACTGTGTAATGTAAGAATACATTAATCCTACTAGCCGTTGTTAGTGGATTATGAATATTTTCTGGGAACTAATTTTCCCCAAACATTTCTGTGCAGGAATGTGTTGTCTATAGTCCCAGGAACCACCCAAAGAGTTGTAAAAGTAGATCTGATGGATACAACTAGCTAGAGCATATTAATTTCTGCAATTGCCGGCACTTGCAAGAGTGAAGTAGTGGAAAATATCAAAAACCGTATCCGCGTTTTCAGCACTTGTGAAATTAACTAAATTACTTACTAACTCAACTAATTAACTTAATACTAAATAAATAATAACTTAAAGAATTAACTAAATACTAATTTTCAGCTCACCTCAAGAGCAGCACTCCCATTCCAAGCAGTGCAATGAAACAGTATAGCGCACACATAGTTCTTGACTTGTTTGTCGATGCTGCTAAGAAGAGTGTTGAACATGCCCGGATAGAGACGAGCCCAGACGGCGCCCTGTACTGCGTGATTACCCACACACAGGTTACTGGTTAACTGGAGGGCTGCTCTGATCACCTGCCCGGGGTTATTTAATTATTTATTTTAATCTTTATGTTTATTTAACTAATTTTACTTCTTTATTTATTTTCCTCATTTCCTGTCTAATTATTTATTTGACTTTCTTGGTCACGTGACGGTGAATATGTTAACGGGACGGTTAAAGTGTAAACAATATCAGACAATATTTTGGTAAAGTTACAAAAATAAACAAGGCCAGCTTTGTGCCTAAATTTTATTTAGAAATTACTGTAGAGTGCAAAAGTAGCCACACAAATGACAATGCAGCTCATGATGTTTGTTTATCAGACCTGTTGTGCACCACAATGCAACTTATGTAAGTTACAGATTACAAGAGCAGTTTCAGTACACACTACAAAAGAACCAAACTGTATTCTTTTCTATTCCATTGAAGTTTTGAGCCTGAACAGTCAAACCCTAATTTAACCGTGGTCTATACCCGATTACCCGGGAGTTCCTTCAGTGGTGCCAACTGCCATTTCCATATCACCGAATTTTTATTGTACCACGTTATACAGCATGATACTTACACACAGATTGCACTTACATCTCCTTCCAATAACTACTTACTTTAATTTCAAAGCACACACTATTATGCTTAGCCGCATCATGATAGCACTTTTAAAGAAGTTCGTATGCTAGATCCCAACTAGTGCTTGAAGATTGCCCAACATGCACTTATCATAAACTGCACACATTTCTGTTGCCGGCTAGTCTACATAATACATTCTTATATTTGACGAAAGATCGTTAAAAGGGAGGAAAATCAATTAGAGAAAAAGTCATTGGAGAAGAAATCATCGGGGACAAATCATTGAAGAACATACCATAGCTCTATAGAATGGATTGTCAAGCTATTTGATTGATCTGCTGGACAGAAACGGGGAATATAATCGTTTTTACCTCGATACAAAGTGGAGTATATGTTAGAACGTAGGGTATCTTGTGTTTGACACGGTGACACTTTGTTCCTACGTCGTGGTAGAAGTAAACACTGTCCAGGATACAGTCCAAGAGACCTGGGATAAGGTGGTGTGATAAGTAGCATATACAATGGCTCCCATGTATAATTTCTCAGTTGTCATGCTCTATATAAATCATAGACCACACTATAACAACATATCTCTACTTTTTTTGTGAAATGTGAATTCTATATTTATTCTAGCTTGATGCTAATATTGCACCATGCTAGGAATAACAGAAAACGAGCTCTATTTGGACTAGCTTAAACTCAATAAAGATAAATGTTGTTCAAGCACACTGCACAGATGTGCTAGCTAAACTGTGAGTATAAAGTTACTTCAGATGCTGAGAAGTGAGATATTATGACGTCATGTCACCTGTTTTAACTTGAAGGAACTGGTTGCGGGGAAGGTTGATGACACTGTTCCGCAGAAGTCTGATAATATTAGCTGTGGCTATTATCGTCACAGTTACTGTATCTACATCACGCTGCGTCAACTTGGATAGGTTCTCTACCTGAAGATAAATACTGTTTGATTTCTGAATTTTTATTTACAATTGAATTTTATTATTATAGGATGTATGGTAATCAGTCTAGTCAGGAAGAAGCAAATACAAATTTGAATAGCAACACAGAAATTATTTACTAATTATAAGAATTAGTTATAGCTTCAATAACACAGTTTTGGAATGAAAAATGTATATTTATAACTAATTCCACTTACAAATTTGTGGAAACCTAAAAGATATCTAAGTTAATACCAAACATGTAATATTGAATTAACTTGCAAGTAAATTCAAATCAAGCTGTTTTAATATTTGACGTAACTGCTCACATTACCTTGTTTTTGACATCATTATTAGCAGCTTTGAGTAACGACTTCAAACTGTCGTACATTACCTCATCAAACTTCTCACGTGACTGAGGAATTGTATCGTGTAAAGGAAAATATAAAATAGAACTTATAACCAGTATATTTTAGGTAAATTTTTAAATTTTAAACTATTCTAAACCAAAGCAATGTGAAATTTAATTGAACTGCATTGGCCCTACTGAATGTGGCGCCATCAATATTGCATATAATTTGTTTAAAATTTACTTACCTCTGGTGATCGAGCCCATTTTAAGAGATCTGTCAACACTCTGGACAAGTCATTCCACTCAACATAAGGCTTGGCAGCATTAGGTCCAACCCATACACCTCGCCGAATGCGATCAAAGTTTGTGTCTACATCAACCATTCCAACAAATAACGTACATTCATATGTAAAATCACCTTTACAAAGAAAGAGTTAATAAGGAGACCAATATTCGATTTGTGATTTTGCCATCACAACAGAATTGCAAAGAGTATAATTATGGCAAAGAGTATAATTATGACATTTACCTTGGTGATCATAATTTTGTAAACAATACTACAATTACAAGAAATCTTTGCAATGTCTCCAGTCTCTCCAGTACCAAGATTTAAGCCTGGCAACAGTCAAAAAGTCAACCATATCCAATGCCTGGAAGCTTGGTAAAAACTAAAGGGGAATTGTTTGTCACAGTTGAGCTAAAATGTTGAGGATGACGCTAAATGAAGAATTGAGGATCCGCAGGTTCAACAAAGAACCTCTAATGAACTGCCAAGAGTGATTATGAATGAAGATGCATGATAGAGAGCTGCAACTAGTTCATCAGCAATTTCAGAATCCAGAACTAGTAGCAAATCACTGTACTATTACTTCTTTTTCTTCTTTTTTTTCTTTTTTAAAGAAAAAAAGGGGGACCCCCAACCCATGTAGCTGAGACACCTCACAGCAAGTAGACCAAAGTGGCTCTTGCTTGTGAAAGTTGTATCAACTACCCACCGAGGCGGTGGGTTGGAAGTCCCCCCTGGGATCATTTCGGCCGTACAATTTTACACAATATAAAAGCTACAATAAGTTATCTATAAAATTTACATAAACAAATTGTGTATATTTTGTTCATTTTTGAGTGTAAATTAATTTATTAATTTATCACAAATTATTTTATTATAATATAACCACTTATGTGAAATGGTTATTTTGACTTTAAATATTTGAACTAAATATGAATTGATTGTGGGTATAAAATAAAATTTGTTTTACTAAAAATTTGTTTTACTAAATTTAAGAGACCTCATAACTCGTCTTCTGAGGTATTAGTTTGAAGGATACGTCATCCAGTCCAAGGTGCTGGGCTTTTTGTCTTCCTTTGATTCCCCTGAGTGCTATGAGTGTGCTTTGTAGCAGATCAAACCTGAATCGTGTTCTGATGTGATTTTTGACCTGGCTCTTAGCTTCTTTATTGTGGTCAGCTATCCTTTCAGAGATACGATCTACAAACACAGTGCAGAGTGGGCCCATACCTCCGGATGTTGTAAAGACTAGTGGGACAAAGGACCCTTTCTTTGACTGAAGTAATCTCTCTTCATAGAGATCTTTCTTCTCTTTCTCATGCACACTGTAGATTTTATCTGGTGGCTTAAATGTATTAGAGTCGCAATTAGGATGAGTGACCCTGATGTCAAAGAATGTTCTTTCGAATGGTGCATACAGTCCAACAGCTGCTACATCCAGACGGGCTTTGGTCTTCCTGGGTGTTGGTCTTCCTGGAGAATGAAGTTGGTTTGACAGGCAGGAGTGCAGGTTCTATCCTTACATCCTTACACTTTGCTTCTTGAAGGAAGAAAGCTGCAGTGTCTCTAATGACATTGTGGCGCATGCAAATGTATCCACTGATTACTTGCATGCCAGTGAGCTAGCCATAAATGTATGGAATTTGAGCTGACCATCAAACTCAGTATGGGTGATGAATGCACGTGATGATTGATGTGGGATTTCTATAGCTAGGGCTAGCAAAATGCAAGACATCAGTTCTCCATATAAAATATCTCAACAATATCTGGGTCCATTTATCATTTACTGTAACAAAATCCATTTACATTACTACTATACTTTTCCTACTATGCTTTTAAATTATTCTCAAACAATCAAATTGACTCATGCATTCACACAGTGCTAAATCTTCGTGAGCTTTTGTGAAACAACTCATCTTGAGATCTTCATGTAAAAAATTAAAACTGTAGCGCTCGATTCTGGTGCAGTGTATTCGCGTATTTATTGTTGATTGTGCTTATTGGCGCGGCGCTAAAACAATACGTTTTATTATAATAAAGTAATAATATATTATAATAAGAGTAAAACAAAATTTAAGTAAAACAAAATGTAAATGCCATTACAATGAATAATGATATCATAATAGATATAAGTAGACATCCAATAACAAACTTGTTAGGTCCTGTGCAGTACAACTTTACTGGGCCGCGCCCAGCCTGTCATTCCGCCGAATCTCTATTCATATGTTTATGAAATGATAGCCTGAGGTCCCCAGGTAAGTACAACCCAAAATGTCCCCCGACTAACAAAATAAAAATAAAAAGAGCTAGCATGTTTTTGTAGCGCGATGCGTTACTGTGCCGCGCCGCGCACTCAATGAGGCTTCTCACAGCTAGATCGGCAACATGCGCTACTGTGCCGCGCCGAGCTGCTTGCTCTAACCAGAGCCCTCTCACTTGCAGTAGCGCGTCACGCAGTACGCGTAAACACATGGCTATGTTAACCGAGCTGCCATGAATTGACATTGTCAATTAGGCATGTTCATATAAGTTCTATCATATGAGTCATATCATATGAGTCCTTAAAACGTGCATACCTAAGCTGTACGGAAATAGGTATAATTCTAAGTCATAAATTTAGACTCAACATCATTTTTGAAAGAATATCATATTTAAAAAATATCAACAGTCAGAACTGATTAGCAAAATAAAGTATGTTGAAAGAATTTATATATAAATCTTTTGCTGCTTAGTTGACGGATATTTTGACCATTGTTAATGATCTGGACCGGCGAGAAGAAAGCGGCGCGCGCTACTTCATACTTCGAAGAAATTAAGACGAGTAACATCTGTCAATTATAAACCTACAAGGTCGAGAGCGTATTATGATTATGATTATAACATAGAAATTATGGCGCGGCGCTACTTGTCGGCGCTATTTGTCACGCTCACTGATTAAACGATACAATTTGTCAAGCAAAAATGTTTCGCGCGTTTCGTTTACGTTTCACATTTTGTGTGACCGAACAACATTCCAAACAAATGTACGTGATGAATGCCGGTGTACAGATTTGTTGGTGAGTGTGTGATTTGATTTGCGGAGATTTACAGGATTTGTGTGTATCTGTTGTGTTTGTGGGTGTGTGTGTGATTATAGACTGTAGTGCTTGATTTGTATGAACTGGTTTAAGATTAAGGTCATTGCAATGAAGCTAATTTTGTCATACGTTGTAGACCTGCTGTGCACGAAAGCGCGGCTATATCGCTCCACGATACTTTCGTCACTTAGTGATAATGGGGGTCACGACGTGATACAATATAAATAATGAAAAGTTTGTGTTGAGAATTTTATTTGCATGTTCGCGCGCTATATCTGACCGATTTGTGATATGCAACGTATATCAAAGTCCAAATAATACCAAATCTTGTCATAAAAGAATATACAAATTTTTCAAACAGTATACACATAATGTCACAATGACCCTATATAAAAATAACCCTTTAAAAACTCAATATTTTGAAATTCACCCTTGGCCTTGTGGCTCCAAGTTCAAATCTAAACTGTCTATATTGACAAAGTTCTTTCTCGTCTATCTTGTCATAAAATCAAAAATAAATAAATTCAAACTGAAACTTACAATCAAACAGAAACATAAGTTGGGGGTGCCGTTGTAAACACAATTTTCTCAGATTAAAGCACGAAATGTGACGTCACTACCCTAACTAACTGCCCGATTAATTTGAACTAACAATGCGATAAAAAAACAGATCCCAGAATGTCTAATTCAAAAATGAATAATGATTGTCCCGCCGTGCACTGCACTGAGCGGGCATTATTACGTATTATTTATAATATCAAATTTATCTACATAGAATTATTATACAGATCAACATTGCGAAGAACTCACTATGCTCTATTATTTTATAGATTTTATAGATTATTACCAAGTTCCTCATTTAAAGAAATCAGAACACTTCGCTTTAAACTTAACATGGCCCACAAAAGTTAACGCTGTAAATCGTAAAAGGATGGCCTATCAAGAACGGTAACCCAACTACCAATGTGATAAGTAATAGTTTCATCTGAATTCGTAAAAAAAGGGCAAATTGAGGTGCTCACCGTAATTTATTTTGTGATCCAAAGAGATAATCTGTTTAACTATTTAAGTATGATGGACTATAACATTCTTCTGAAAAAGAAAATCACGCTCAAACTAATCTGTTTTATCTAGGAATACAGTCTTCGGTTTAACAAACAAATGCGTTTCGGGGGCTTAGATTGCACTAATAGATAAAAGCTGTGATTTAGCTGTTGACCATTCTGGCGGAGAGCCAGTCAAATCCCTCGTAGAGACCGTCACCAGAGGTTGCGCAGGTTGCTTGGATGTGCCACTGAAATAATAATAAATTAGTTATAGTTAAATGTACGGGCTTGTTTTAAATTTGCAAACTACCAGAACATCGGTACACATATTTCTTGCCTTAATTCGATTGAAATGATTGAAGGTTTTTGGAGACCCGACTGTTGAGATCATTAAAAGTTTGAAGACGATCAAGTCTGATTTAAACGTCTTGAAATAGTGTCCTACCTGCCTGTTCTTCATTCCCTGGAGACCAAGTGCGTCAGTCACATCGGCAACAGAACAAGCTGAGGTAAGATCCTTTTTGTTGGCGAACACGAGAAGGATAGCGTCTCTCAGCTCATCTTCTTGGGTCATTCGTTCTAACTCCTTCCGAGCCTCTATTAAACGTTCTTTGTCGTTACTGTCCACTACGAAGATGATTCCCTGGTGGGGTCAATGTGAGGAACTTTTTATTTTAGAAAGGGAGGCTACACAGGAGGGTGTTATGAGATCACGCATCTATTATTATTAGAATGTGTGGAATGTTATGATGTGTTCGGTGTGGGTGTAATTCAATCATTTTCTGTGTGGAAACTTCTATTATTATTAGACGTACGGTCCGTTCTTCAGCACTCTCACAAAATGCGAAACTTTCCAGTTTCAAATGTCGCAATCAATGGTGAGTTCTATTGAGTATAACCTAATATGATTACGTGTACAGTTTCTAATTTTCTATGTGGCATTGTTGTTTTAATATACAGCTATTCAATCAACACAAACGTCTCAATAGACTGTTATACAAAACGCTGTTAGCACTTTTCCAGAAGATGAATCTGAGACAGAAGATGAATCCGAGATTTTGGAAACATTTGAGACAAATTTTGATACATGTTTTTTCGCTTTATATGTCCGTGAACTGAGTGGAATTTGCTATGGTATGATAGAGGGGCATGTGTACTAACATTTTCAGCCTCCTGTGAAATATTCCCTGATTTATGGAATGAATGAAATGAACACAAAATGACAACAAAATGAACATTTTCTTTTCACTCCCCTGAATTGAGCTAAAACCGATTGGAATCAATCGGTATTGATACCAGAAGTGTCCCTGGGAAGTTTAGTGAGCCTAGCATGTTCATAAAGGGCTCTGGGGCAATATTTCCATTTCGGTTTCAGAGTAGTTGAGATCGTGGAAACATTTGAGACAAATTTGGAACCACACTTTTGTAGCCATATTTATGCTTGTACTGACTTGGAATCTATCTGGTATGGTAGAGGGACACATATACTAACATTTCCAGCCACTTAGAAGTGCAAAGTATAATTCCCCTGGTTCATGGAATGAATGAAATGAACACAACATGAACATTTTCCTAGAATCCCCTGAATTGAGCTAAAACCGATTGGAATCGATCGGTATTGATCTCAGAAGTGTCCCTGGTAAGTTTGGTGAGCTTAGCATGTTCAGAAAGGGTTCTGGGGCAATGTTAAAATTTTAGTTTCAGAGTAGTTGAGATAACAAATATATCATACATACTACATAAATAGTGGAAACATTGGAGACAAATTTGTATAATATCATTGACACCGTGTTCAGTGTACAGATTATGGCGATGTTCGATGTCAACAGTCGTTATATCTGTATATGTATCACTTTAAAAGGCCTGCGATAGAGTGGGTCGAACTATCAGCTTCTTTCTTCTATCTCAAAACTAATTAATTCATGGCGAACTCGGAACTACACCTCACCTCGACATCCTCAAGTCCAAAAATTCCCTTATTCACCGAAGACCTTCTTAACACAACCCTTCTTTCTATATTTGGCGGAAATCCCACTAAGCGTTTATACTTAAATCTTACAACTTACAGAGACGCCAAAAAGGACATTTGGAAGACGAAACCAGCAGTATATAGAATAGAGATACATATCATATTCTGCACTATAAAAAAACAAATCAACAACAATAAGCTATGACAATTATGAGAATTGAATAGAATGTAACCTTACGTAACTACACTCATAGATAATAATAACTAATGGGGATTAAGACGTTTAAACCTTACAAGTATTCGTTATATTCGGGCAAAAAGCTAATAGTTTTCGGTATCAGTGATTTGAAAATGTAAAGTATTTAAGTACGCCACATATCAACGAAACAACGCAAAACTTCTTCCTAAAACGTTACCTGAGTGTTTGTATAATAATGTTTCCAGAGAGGTCTGAGCTTGTCTTGACCGCCGACATCAAACACTGTAAAACTGACGTTCTGATACTCCGTGGTCTCTACATTGAAACCAATGGTGGGTATCGTGGTCACTACTTCTCCGAGTTTCAGCTTGTATAGGATCGTGGTCTTACCTGCTCCATCTAACCCCACTGAAAGTGAAATTATCGTGTAAGGTTACAGATGATTTGTTTATAGGCTTAGGTTATTTTTATAGGGAAAGGGTTAAAATTTAGGATATAATTTAACGAAATTATTTGTTACACAGTATGATCTGATTAAACAGTGTAAAACTGACAATATAAACATACCCATGAGGATTCTCATGATGGCCTTCTCTCCAAAGACCTTGTATATATACTCCATCGCTAGAATAGAGTATTTGTTCAATTTAGATAATCAATTTAATTGGTGTAAAAAGAATGTTAGATACGCTCCCCACTTTAAAGCTTTAACTAGGTGCTTCTGCATGCTTTTATGGTAACAAAATACCAACAAGTAACAACCTAGTAACATAAAACATGTCCTCAGCGGTCAAACCAGTTGGTAATCTAGTATCTTATTCATTATCATTGGTCAACATAAGTTTAAACAGAAATAGAAATTGGAAAATTTGTTTGACCAGCCCCACATGTAAAATTGTTAAAACAGGTGAAACAAAGAGGGTGACCTATATGTGAATTGGTGGATCAATTGCCCGGTAGATAGATGGATAGAAAGGGTTTATTAAAAAGTGCCATATGTATTCAATATTAGATGCCGATACTTTCTGTTATCTAGATACTTTCAAATTGATAAGAAGACAAACCAATCTTATCTGTAAAGGAGAATGCCAAAATTGTATTAATCACAGATGACAATTTTTAACAGCCCTTTCAATTCCATCACAAGTAGATGATTATAAGAAGCAATAAAACAGCACAATAAAAGGACTTGCAGTGGTATTATGGTATAATTAACTCGGTAAAATCAGACGTTTCGCGTTTAAAAAGTCGTGAAATCGGGTTTTGCGCATGTGTGTTAATTTGCTTTATCATGATCCCAATTCTCTACAAAATAGCAGTAGCACAACTTACGAAAACAAATTTTTGTTCGAATAAATGATGAACATTTAAAACACACCTAACATCTTCTGACAATAAAAGGACTTGCAGTGGTATAATTAACTCGGTAAAATCAGACGTTTCACGTTTTAAAAACCGAGAAATCGGGTTTTGCGCATTTGTGTTAAATGAATGCAATATATTTTAAAACAAAAATTAAAACTAGTTAACACAACAAATGGACACTTATAATTTCATATTCTACATAATATGTGCTTCAAAACTTGTCTGACTGATCACTCAACCCCTTTCTAATGTACTTGCCTCTAAACTGTATCCTCAGCAGCACTAATATAACATATATCACCAATATCGTCACTTGAAATCGAGAAATGGCAATAAAATCATACTAAATGTTCTCAAAAAAGGTTAAAACTTGTGTACAAAATACGATTTACGAAACATTCCCAGCTGAATTCTACATTTTACACTTGGGTGCGATTAGATTTTGACCGTTTTGTGTACATTTGTACATTATTTCAAATTTTTGTATTATCTTCACGATTACTTTAAAACCAAAACTAACTCGAATCTTAATATTAAAAATTTTAATAATATAAAGCTTAGACAGCAGACAGCGCAAATATCGTTTTACGAGCCAATTGTCACGTGCGCACGTCTGACAAAATGATTATATGTTCAAATTTTTTTTTTAAATAGTAATTATTCAAACAATATACACATAATATAGCAATGACCCTATATAAAATCAACCCTTTAAGAATTCAAAAAATTCCCTTAACAATCAAAAAATTTTTACCCTTGGCCTTGTGGCTCCAAGTTAAGTTTATATCAACAATGTTTTTTCTCGCACCTCTGTCTCCACGGAGAGAAATCACTGTTGTTCTGAGGATTTCAAAGCGAAGGCGCTTTCTTATGTATCCTACAGCGTCTGAGTACCTCTGGCCAGTGTGGTACTCTATCTTACTCCATCTTACTGGCCAGCTTCTTGACCAGTCTCTCAGCTTCACCACCCATTCCACCTGAAGTCGAGAACACTAAAGGTGTGAAGCTTCCTTTCTCCACTTCAAGAACCCTTGCATTGTAACATCGCTTTTTCTCATTTTCATGGGACAGGTACATTGCTGGTATCGGTTTGCTTGCATTGGAGGGGACTGGGGCATGAAATACCCTTACATCACAAAATGCCCTCTCTGAAGCATTCCAAATCGATCTTGCAGAAATGTCCAGCCTGGCTTGGTCTCCTAGGACTGTTTCCTTTGGTAACTCTATACCATCAACTGGAAGAAGAACTGGCTCAGTCTGCACATCCTTGCATTTCACAGTTCTCATTAGTTCTGCAAAGGTGTCTCTCAGCGAGTTGTGCCGCAGTGACACATATCCACCAAGTTTGCAGATGAGCGCATGGTTTGCTGAGTATTTCTGGCCACACGTACATGATTTAGGGCAGTCCTTTAAGTTCAGGTTGTATCTGAGAGCTATTGCATCTGAGAACTGTTGTTTATTCATCAGATATCCATACTCTTTTAAAGGTAGTGCTGTTAACCAAGCACTTGCCCCTTTCTCAATTTAAATATTAAATTTAAGCCATAAGCATCTGATTTAACTGAATTTACAATACTAACCTTTTTCAGCTTGTAACTTTGCAATTTATGCACTAAAATCCTGTCGTTGCCCAGTAGTTTACCTGGGAACCTTGCTCTATCCAGAGCCCTTGCGCTTGCAGTAGCGCGCGCCCGCCTCACGGCGCGAAAGCACATGGTTAGGTGAACTGGGAACCTCAGGTTATTATATTTATGTTCATAATCATAGAATAGAGATTAAGCGGAATGACAGCCTGAGCGCGGCTCAGTAACCGATCGACGATGCGAAGCAAGAACAAAGAATGCTAGTTCGCGCGGCGCGTCGAATTGGCGAAGTCCTTCAAGTAGAATTGCCTCTTGCACCGCCTTCGGTGGTCACGCGCTACTGCAAGCGAGAGAGCTCTGGTTAGAGCAAACCCAATAGTGTATTGCCCTACAATAATTTATTTTGTATTGACAATTAAAGTTCACACATTTTTATTTTTGTTAAGTATAGGAATTTTTAAATGTGATTGATTAAAAGTATAAAAGCAAATAAACCGATTCTTATATTATTTTAACCTTTTATTATATTTAATTTTCCGGCCCAGGCCTTAACGGGTGATATTTGTAAAATATTTGTTTCAAATATTACGACCGTCAACGTGTCCAACTCGGCGCGCGTCCTGGTAGGTTATGTAAGTTAAATTTATTGATTCACGATTTCAATCCTTCGCAGCTCGGCGAGGCCCAGTGGTGCATTTTGCCGATCTACAGAAGGTTGCGAAAAGGATTATTTGATGCGCGGCGCGGCCCAGTAGTGCATGGCGCTACAAATAAATTTATTACTTACAAGCCCGTCAAATTTTTAATTTTTATTCTTATTAGATGTACCGCCTCAGCAGACAGCAGTATTATTTAAAGTACACTATTACTTTGTAGCGTGATGCACTACTGGGCCGCAGCGAGCTGTGAAGGAATGACTTCCTGAATCAAATTATTACTCTTAACATAACAGCACTTTGTTTGTGTACCAAATGGTTTCTTTTCTGTTGCTGTCGGATTCTCTTTATTAGGCCTACTTGACTGCAGGAGATCGTTGCCTTATACTAATCTTTGCCTTATACCTGTCCCCCCTGTGATAGACTATACAAGGAATAAATCTTGTGTATCTTTTCGGCTACACAAGTTGCAAGTTATCAACGCCACCTCTAGATCACATTTGTTGTTCTAACTGAATAGAGCTCCTATCTTACTATATATAAAGCGAGACGATATATATCCGTACCATTGTACTGACACCATGGCATCAACTTAAACACGACTTTTCGCAAAAACCGTAAAAGATATAAAACTGAAACCTTTTTTACTGGGTCAAATGTCTTAATGGCATTCAAATCAGCATGAAAAAAATGATAAATAGGCCGATAAACAATAATTTTAGTGCCCAAATTTTGGATCCCCAAGTGGTGTCAAAAACGCGAATTAAATAGGTAATAATTTAGTTCGTCTCTTGAGTCTTGACACCACTTAATATAAGGGTTAAACAGGTTCCTGCTAGTCAAATTAATATGCCAAGCATTATTGGTACCCAAAGAGATCCATGGTTAAAAAATGCTACTTTGCCAGCATGTAATCCACTGATCGATTGTGGTCGATCCCTTGCAGTGATCAAAACGTAATGTTTGTTACAGGGTCATGATCGTAACTTAGCCACGTTTGTCATCAACCCACATGGTTATCAAGATTGATATTATTCAATTTTCTAATGCTTTTATACCAAGCAACTTAATTAAGGAGCATATTTGCATTGTCAGGATATATTATGCCTATTTGATGGGGAAATAATTGTTTAAAGCATGTAATTGCAGACTTATCATTAATATTTAATGGGCCATTGAAGTTCCTTCACCCGTCATTGCTAAATGAGAAATAGAGAAACAAAATAGAGAAACTAACCCCTCTCTCGATTCAATCACTTACCGCAATTTAAATACTTATTTTGCTGAATGGAGTTGGGTTAAAACATATTAAAGTGATACGATAGTCTAACTTGTAGAAGCTTTCAATAAACATGTGTTAATCGTCGTCAGCTGAAGGTGATGTGGTGGACAATGCTTTTATGTGATGGGAGTTGTGTCAAGGATGAAGGTTGTGGGTGGGAAAGTCAAAATTACAGTACAAGGTCAATTAAAACTAGGAGAAAAAAATGTAGGCTTCTGTTGAGGTTGAGAAGAAAATGCCAGATGGTCTGGACTTTAAGGATTTGGTAATCTTCGGAAAGATGGGGTCCCATAGGGAACTATATTTGGGTGCGCGGTCTGTTCTGTTCATGGCTGGTTGTCGGAATTGTACAGCTGCGTGTTCTGTGAGGTCAAGTTGGGAGCGTGAGGTAAGGGATTTGAGGACTGCTATGGTGTTCCAGGAGATGGTGTGGCCGGTGGTCAGGGCATGATGTGCGGGGGCCGATTTGATTCTGTCTGTGGTTTCGTCAATGGCGGTGTTGAGTCTATAACATCGTTCGTGTTCTTTCATGCGGTGAATCGAGGGTCTGTATGTCTGTCCGGTGTATTTGGAGGGACACTCTGAGCAGGAAATTTCGTAGATGGTGTTATGAGTGAGTTTAGTAGGGGTGTGGTCTTCGTTTTGGTGAGGAGGTAACTTCTTTTGCATTTCTTAAGGTTTTGTTTTCTGACAAGTGAATAGATATAACAATCATCATAGAACATTCGAATCCCTA